TGTTGGGAGAGGAACATCTTAAAGGAGGTGGGCAGTTCTATTGTGTGTGTGCCTAAGAGCGAACCAAATGTCACCCTCTGCGATGGCACCATTAAGTCAACAGCCAACATTAACCAGTGAGTTATACAATGACCAGTGGTAAAAACCTTTTATCCACTGTAAACACGTTTTAACAAGTGTCAGCACGTTTTAAGCAATGTAAACGCATGTTAATCAATGGCAAAGCTCTTTGTTACCATCGTCAACACATTTTAACCAGTGTGAAAACATTTTAACTAGTGTCAACACGGTGGAATCAATGTCAACAAGTTTTAACTAGGGTCAACGCATTTCAACCAGAGTGAAAACGTTTTAAGCAGTTCCCAAACGTTTTCATCAGTGTCAACATGTTTTAACCAAAGTGAAAAATATTAACCATTCTCAAAACATTTTAACCAGTGTCAAAATGTTTTAACCAGCAAACTAAATACAATAAGATAAGACTGGCACTAACTGATGCTGAATGAAAGCAATTCTTGTAATGATTTTGAATTGATTATATTATTTATTATACATATTATCTTAAATTTATTAAATTTATTTGTTGAACTTTTGTATTTAATTATCTCTTACAGTAATAATGAATGGATATTAATATTGTATATTCTGAGACATAAACATGAGCCAAATTTGTTTGGAGGCCATATATTGCAGTTTCACACATGAAGTTTTTCTTCACCCAAATAAAATATATTAGCAGTACATTATTCAGTGTTACACACCTGATTCTTTACTGTTTTGCATATCATAAACCTGTCACCCCTTGCATAATATTAAACGTAATCATGTATAGAGGGGGAACCAAATAATAGGCATAATTATGTAAGAAGATAACTAGAATTAACTAGCAATTTAATTCATATCTAATTTCTAACGTCTAGATGTGGAATATGTGTTGAGGGAGAAACTGGGTTGAAGAAAGATGCCAAACTGGACCAATGTGGTGTTTGCTTTGGCCTAAACACCTGTGTGGCGTGTGATGGTGTAGTCAACTCCACCGCCAGGACCAACATCTGTGGAGCCTGCCTTAATCCCTCTGATCCTAAATGGAATAGTAAGTGCTGGGTCCTCCGTAGAGAACCAACCCATCCTCCGAATTGACAGTACGTTTTAATACTAAGTGTAATAAGTACATTTCCTGACTGTCATACATAGTACATAATTGCACTTATGAGGCTGTTACATTTACCTCCCCATTTAATTCTCCTCGTTTTCTGTTAAGACACTCAGAATTTTAGGATGAAGTTTTAAAGTTCAGTTTGCTATACACAAGTTTTAAATATCAGGAATTTCTTTTTCAGTTTTATTAAACAATAGAGATTTTATACAAAATTTGAAAATATCCTGAGTTACTTTACAATTTATTTAAATATTTTAGTTTTGTTTTATTTGTTTTATAAAACTGTAATATCAATATAGTTATAGGTTAAGTAGTAATTGTAATTAAGAAGCAATAAAATGCTTATCTTCAAAAACTAAGACGGTTAGGTTAGGTCGTGGTTTTCTATTCAGCTTTTCAGGTAAACTCAAATATTCACAATATATTTGACTACGATTTAATACTAAGTGTAAATAAGTACAATTCCTGACTGTCATACATAGTACATAATTGCACTTATGGGGCTGTTACATTTACCTCCCCATTTTTGGAGGACGGGCTGGTGATAACCTAAAGTACCGTCATTTAGAGACGTTCTAGTAGATTCTCGTAGTTCGTTTGTGTGATGCGTGTACGGGAGATGTTGGAGTGTACCAGATTGTGTGCTTTGGGTAATACAGTCATGTAGGCGAGCATTGATCTGTTAGAGTTAATGTGTAGGCGTTCTTTACCAGGGTTAGAACATTTGATTAAATTCCTAGCATTTATTGTTAAGTAGATCCATCATATATGTCATCATAATGAACTCTTATATCGAAGCAACTGACCATTGCAGAATTATAATTTAACGATAATGAAATGTTGAACCCCCACCCGCAAAAGGTATTTTGTATAGTTATCAGTTATCAAATCCATGTCAGATTTAGGGTTATTGGGGTTCTTTTTTTCCGAATTCTTTTCCAGTAAGCCGGGACGGGCTCTAAACCATCACATATATACCCACCAAACCACTGAGGTATTCAAACTGATTTTACTTCCCCGACAGACTGTTCTGGCCTCCGTGTAACAAGCGATTCTCTAGATGCGTGCATCAATGACGTACAGGATATGATAGTTGATCGTAAGTAACTTCTTGAGGTCTTTTTTTAATATTTTGGTTATAATCCATATTTAGATTTGCTTCATCTTTGAACGTACTGTTCTGAAATACTACGTGTTGTATTCCAGAGAAACTAGATTTTTTTTAATGTATGTTAAGTTAGAGCCTGAAACCGTGACATATTTAGTAGTGAATGTTGTGTGGTAAATTAGAGTCTGATAACATGAAGTATTACATGATAGCAAATCGTAATATAAAGCGAGTTAACCTTTGCTCACTACAGCAGAGAAGAGAACACTGGCCGACCTGAGGAGCTTGCTCACTGTGGAAGCCGAGGTGGCCGGGGTCAAAGCCAAGACCCATACTATTGACAACTGCTCTCTAGTGTCTGATATTGGCCAGGTGAGCACTCTCTCCTCGGACACACACACACACACACACACACACACACACACACACTAGTCAAGGATAAGACTAAACTGGAAAAGGTTCAAAGGTTTGCCACCAGACTAGTACCCGAGCTGAGAGGTATGAGCTACGAGGAGAGACTACGGGAATTAAACCTCACTTCGCTGGAAGACAGAAGAGTTAGGGGGGACATGATCACCACATTCAAGATTCTGAAGGGGATTGATAGGGTAGATAAAGACAGTCTATTAACACAAGGGGAACACGCACAAGGGGACACAGGTGGAAACTGAGTGCCCAAATGAGCCACAGAGATATTAGAAAGAACTTTTTAGTGTCAGAGTGGTTGACAAATGGAATGCATTAGGGGGTGATGTGGTGGAGGCTCACTCCATACACAGTTTCAAGTGTAGATATGACAGAGCCCGATAGGCTCAGGAATCTGTACACCTGTTGATTGACGGTTGAGAGGCGGGACCAAAGAGCCAGAGCTCAACCCCCGCAAACACAACTAGGTGAGTACACACATTGTATACATACTTTTTAACCCTTGACTTGTGTTTTTGTCTAACATAACTACTGTAAATCTAAACTTTATTAGTACCAAAGAAAAATTGTAAATTGTTACTTCAGAATACTTGGTTTTAAGATAAATTAAAGCATTACCTAAACTCTTATATAACAGTAGAAATTTTAACAAATTCTGGTCCACTGCCTTAGTCATTAGAGGTAAAGGAAAGTGGTCACTCGTGTAGTAATGTGTGATCTGGCCACTGATTTGATGGATGATTACACTGATTAATTCCCTGGTTAATCGGTGCCTCCCTGGCTTCTCTGGTCTTATTATTGGTATACACATCTGTAATTTGGCTACATACACACTCACATTGAGTAATTATTAGAAAATATGGAGACAATGCATTCAAATCCCTGAAGGTTTGTTTATTTCTGATGCAGTGAACAAAATATTGACCTTCCAACTCTGTTCTTGTAGGGAACTCCAGCTGTTGCAGTTAGCTTCCAGAATAATGGCGTTAAAGCTGTCTTCAAAATATTGCTCTCTGGCAACATGAGTCTGCAGTGTACTTTTAAATCTAAGTATAAGAAACAAAATCCATCAATGGTAAGTTTTGTTACATAAGTTCTTCTCTACACTTTCAGCAAGGTAATTATGACCACACCTATAATGTATATATATGTATATATTTCCTCTGAGGCATGAGTAGAAGAGGAAAATTTATATAAATAATTTATCTGTAGCTTTTTAGGAATCATCCGAGCTTCTGTTAAATGCTGTATATACTGCCCTGGCAGAGGCCAAGGGACCTCAATAATACTCTTTGTTGACGCCAAGTAACAATAGCCTCACTGAACACATTATCTCCTGGCTTCATTTAGAGTTACGAGAACAGAAAAACACTCAAACCAATGATATCAATTTTAAAGCACCAAACTACCTTAAGGTTCAGACCCCTGGACCAAAGAGCAAGAGCCAGTATGAAATATGTCAGCCATGATGCTAGAAAAATGATGTATTCATGTATGATGGGTTGGAATAGAGCCGTTCTTTCAATTTGCAACTCCGTCAAAAATTAAACTGTTTTCCCTATTCAGGAACGTACGAGACTTGTTTATAACATACGTGAAGATCAGGCAGGTTTTACAGTAACCACCTACAGCATGTGCAAGAGTTATCGAAGTTGCAATTAATATATATTATAATTCAACAACTATACAGTAGTTTGTTACAAATGCTATAAGGAACTATATTACTTGAGCAGCGTACACTTATATTTCAAGAACATAATCGACAGTGCTGTTTATATACTCACTCTACTTTAAGATATACAAATGTTCAGACCAGTAGTGGAGTGCATCGTGGTGACCACATTACCCGAACACCTCTCAACTCTAATATTTTATAGAATTATTAAGTCAACTGCGATGAAAATGGTCAAATACATATGTATATCACTTCGACTATCTTTGCTTGATGTTTTAAAAAGTATTTACATAACATCCCCCCAAAAATTAAAATACGATATCAAGAGCTAAACAAAGGTAACATCAAGGTTAAATAAATGTCAACAATTTCCTTCCATGTTGAGGCCAGCAATATAAAAATGAAGACAATTCATAAATATATTTAAATAAACAATTAACAAAAGCAAATCATTGAAACAAGACACAAATGTGAGTTAAAAGAGATGTACAATATTTGAGTGTTGCTGGACAGCCGACTCTGGCATTTAAACACTGAAGCGGATAAGTTTGTGCGTGTTCTTTCAGGTTCAGCTGACAACTACTGACACGCTAACAGTGCTGGACTCCAGGGCTGTTATGCTGGAAACTGACAAGTCGGAAGTGGACACAACCAATAGCTCAGTGGTAAGCAAATATCAGGTAGTAAGGGAATATCAAATGTATGGAAATATCAAGTAATAAGTAAATATCAGGTAGTGAGGGAATATCAGATAGTAAGGAAATATCAAGTAGTTTGGAAAGATCAGATGGTAAGGAAATATAAAGTAGTAAGGAAATATTAAATAGTAAGGAAATATCAGGCAATAAGTAAATATCAGATGGTAAGGAATTATCAGGTATGGAAATATAAGGTAATAAGGAAATATCAGGTAGTAAAGAATACTAGGTCATAAGCAAACATTAGGAGGGCCAGCAAATAAAATTAAAGTATCCTGAACAAAGGTAGCTGCAGCACTTAAATTAAAGTATTTTATTATCGAAGAAAGACAAGACCTGCATTGAACTTGACATGTGTGTGTGCAGGGATAGGGTCAAAATGTTATGGTAGTTTAAGGGTTTGCTTTAATGATTATGCGGTCTTCCTGCAGGTGACGCTGGCGGTCAAGTACGCTCCGTCCCTGAACTCTGCTGTCTGTGTCCTCATATACGACATTGACTCCTCTGATGCAGGTAGATTCTCTTGCTCGTAATATATGTCGCTTGTCAGAAGCTTATTTATATTAAGTTCATTGGCGGTGTTTTTTTAAGAGATGCAATATTATAAATGATTTCATGTGGTCACAACTCATGTGTTGTGTGTTTGTGTTCGTAAGAATTATGTATGAGTGTTTCACTTCATCCCATAATCCTTTCAATTATTATATATAATAATAAGATATGGTGTTGGGTTTTAAAGTTAAGTTCATTTAATATTATACTATAAGTTACTCGATAAAATCCACGGTGATTGACTCCTCTGGCATCGACCATCTTGTGTGTTCCTGGTCTCGTATTAACATCCTGAATGGTATTAACACCCCTAAATGGTATCTGGGAATGCTTGACAAATTCTCCAGATATACAGAGCTATATTTCAATATTGACTTAGCACTTTAATTTAATTACTGCTCACATACTGTACATACTTTTGCTTCTCGGCAGGCGATAGTAACAAAACCAAGGAGCGGAGATTACTGAAGGGGGAGGCGCCCCCCCGCCTGGTGCAGGAGCTGGCCACAGCCCTGGTGGCACCAGGCCGCGTCGCCTGCACAGTGCCTAAGGATGCCAGGCCGGGCCAGGCGCAGATTGGTCTTGTTCTCACTTTTGCGGCCCTTATTCTTATGTACAGGTACGTTATGGCGATAAGCCTACTTTAATTTGATATATCTGTTGTTTAGTTAATAACTATGATGCCACATAATGTAATGTGCATAGCTGCTTCCTGAAATATTTCACAGATGTTGATAGTCAACCAGAGTCGACAGTGTCGGGAAACAACAGATTGAATCCTCTTGAGTGAAGGTTTAATTCCCCACACAACTTGAACATTTCAGCTTCACGATGAATTATGAAATTTCTCATCTCAAGAAAAAGTATCACTCTTCTAATGTCTTCTGATTCACAGAAACATTATTAATGTTCTTTGTATAGTTCGTGTCGTTAACTGTTCTCTGGCATCTTCTCTCAAGGAGAGTTCTGGGATAAGGAGGGAATGATTTAGGAAATGTAAATCAGCAGTAGGGATAATACGGCTGCTCAGGCACTGGATAGAGATGAAAGGATCTTAGATCTGCTTGCCTAAACACGTCCACTCATCATACTGCATTATTTGTTATATTAAATTGTCTCCATATATGCATAAATGCAATATTAAGAAGAAACTTAAGGAATGTTAAGAAACTACAAGGATAACACTTGGTTTCATCCATGATAATTGAGCTTCAGGGATCATTAACAGGGCCTGGCCTTGACTCAGACCCGGCCCTGACTTCTAGGGCAGGTCTGGCCCCTATGTTCCGAGTCAGGCCCGTTCCTGACTCCTAAGGGAGGCTATAATGAAGGTGAGCTGTGAATGAAAGTGGATGCGGTATTATTATTTGTAACATTAAGTCATATTTGTTGTCGTCGTGGAGCCTGACTTGGCCATGTCTTCTGATCAGGGTGCCCCTCAACCTGCCCACAAAGCCACTGGTCATCAAAGCTCCCGCTCCCGAGGTTGTATCAGCTGTCTTGGACTCCACAGGGGAGGTCCTCAACATCAACTTTAATGTGAATGTTGATGCCAAGGCTAAATGCTCTCAGATAATTAACTGGCCCTGGACTGGACCTACAAGTAAGTTGGTATTATTTAACTATTTACGTTACGTTGGAATAGATGTGCAAGTAAAATTTGTACAATTATAATTTTGGGTTATAATTTTATTTTCCTTAAGTTACCAGTAGGGTTTGGACAGGTGGGCACAGAAAGGGTGAAATAAACTCTGCATGAATAATGATATCATAATAACCGATGCACAAGGTCTTACTACCCGAAATACTCAACATTACGGAAAGCATCTCAGCAACAGGCTGACGATCAAATCATACTGTCACATCAAGTCAGAAGCCTCGTACTTGTAGGGGCTAAGAACACACAACAGAATTCAGTGTAAAAAGATAGAATACCCCCACATTGCTACAGTTAAAAGTGCAGTTTTAGCTTGCAAACTTCAAAATAACTATTGACATGGATAAACAAAATATATATACGGTATGTACAAGACTTGTGAGCAATGTATATGTACCCGGTACACACAACAGTAAAGGGCTTTTAGCGAAGTTAGTTTAGAGTAATGAGTATGTATGTAAATGGTAAAGCTCTAGTAAATGCTGTTAGAAAATAATTGTTTATTTAGTAAGCAGTAATTGTTCAAATGTTTATGTAATGTTATAATTGAGAAAGCCCAAGGCACTGCTACCCCAGGGGCTAAGCGTCTCAGATGCTATGGGAACACTTATCATTCACAATTTGTGTATTTTCGAACCGTAATCCTATTTTTTCGTATATCCAAGCATTTTCATAATTATAACTATATTTTCATCTTGGTTAATCAGTGGTATTATTTATGTAAAGCCGGTACATACACTGTTGTTGCTACTTTGCCAAACCTTACTCCAATTGATTTCATTGTTAGTGTATTTTTAACGAAATCTTCCCGTTTTATACCAATATTGACAATGCACATCAGACTGAGCTTTACATTTGACATGTTTCAGAGTCACCGGGACCAATTTGCAAGTTCGTGGCAAATCAGCTGAGAGTGCAGCTGGGTCCTGCAATTAACGTGTTAGCCAACACCTCGCTGGCCTTCAACAACATGAGCGCTATCCGAAGGGCGTATGGAAATGCCATCACCGCTCCTGCAGCGACGGGGAACTTCACAGTCACTCAACCGGTGGTTGAGGTCAGTTTAATGCATGGAAAACTTGTTCCAGGACGGACTGGAACGTTGGGATGAAGGGGGATATTTGAAGGTACGAATAGGCATTCAAAACTCTTGGGTCTCTCTTAAAAACTTCTGTATTTTTGCCATAATTTTGACAAGTTTCCAAAATCAGAGACTAACGCTTGAGTTAAAATAGCGTGCCACACAGGGGTTGAGTATTCGGAGCTGAGATTATTAACGGCTTGACCAGTGAATCTTTTACCCTTTTTTTTGAGTCACGGGCCCATTTAAAAATCGGGTGAAAGCTCCCTAGAAAATTAGCATATGCACATTAGCACAACTTTGCATGCAATGAATATACTTCATTTTATTGAAAATTGACTTCCTCATACAGTGTATAACAACGCAAAGTATGAATAAAGTAAACATCCATTGAACCCAGGTTAAGAATCCTTGGTCTAGACATTAGAACTAAATCGTTACTAAATGGAATTGCTATCAGATCTTTAAAGTTAAACTAATAAATGGTGGAGTGATAATGAGTGTTGTAGTGTGTTAGAGGAGAGGAAGGCCCTGAACGGTGTGTGCAAGTGGAGGACAAGTATGAAGAAGGGAGTGGGCGAAGAGAGAGTTTAGTGGAACACTGCAAAGGATGATTTATTGTGAGAGACGTTATAGACACACGTTTTAACATTAACCAACTCGTAGATGGAATATGCAGCAGTTTTGTGGTTTTCGTATGTGAAGAGATATACATTAGAATGTATGCAGAGATAAGGCCTTCTGAAAGAGAGGAAATGAATCTTATAATAAGAGTAAACAAAATTAGAGCTGAGCTCTGAAGAAGAAAGAGAAGGAAATATGGTAAAATTTCAAATGAATTAAAGGACATGAAACGTTTGATTAAGAAAATTCCACACAAACAACCATGACTGATACCTACTTGATGGGGTTCTGGGAGTTGTTCTACTCTCCAAGCCCGGCCCGAGGCCAGGCTTGACTTGTGAGAGCTTGGTCCACCAGGCTTTGCTTGGAGCGGCCCGCAGGCCGTATTATGTGAATTCAGTGTAGCAATCAGGGGCCAGATTCGCAAAGCAATTGCGCAAGCACTTACGAATCTGTACATCTTTTCTCAATCTTTGGCGGCTTTGTTTACAATTATTAAACAGTTAATGAACTCCGAAGCACCAGGAGGTTGTTCATAACAATAACAACAGTTGATTGGGAAGTTTTCATGCTTGTAAACTGTTTAATAAATGTAACTGAACCTTTCAAAGATTGAGGTAAGATGTACACGTTCGTAAGTACCTGCATAACTGCTTCATGAATCTGGCCCCTGAATATTTGCAAGAACGTAAGTGTTTCTTAAACAAAGAGATTGATGAACCACTGCCGGACGAGGTAGTGTGTGTGCGATTAGTATAGAACTGTGGGAGCAAATATGATCAATATCTTGAGGAAGATGGGATGCCAGGAACTGGAACTGTTTTTTGAAAGACCATAACTAGATTATCACCATCACACTCATGCTTACTCTATGAACATTTTTTTCATACACATGCATGCCACCTTTAAGGTGGCTTAATCTGTATCAATCAATCAATCAAATGCATGCAGTATGTGGAATATTTACATTAGGTCTGTATCATTATCAATACACTCGCTCGTTCATTATTGTTCATGGCAAGTGTGTGCAGCGACACCCTACACATAGTGTGTTACAGCGTGTACTGTGCTGTGAGGGAAGTGTGCGAAGCATCACCCTCTACATAGTGTGTTAGAACGTGAACTGTGCTGTGAGGAAAGTGTGCAGCGTTACTTTACACATAGTGTGTTGGAACGTGTGCTGTGCTGCGCGTTTAATGCTCTCTTGTACATGTTACAGACTGAGCTGACATTCCAGCTGACGGGTGATACTCAGGCGTGTAACACCTCTGTAGTCAAGGTCTCCATTACCAGTATCAGAGGAGCTAAAATTACAGACGTCACGGTCAGTACTTATCACACATTCCTACTTGTTTTAATTATTAAAGCTTGTCTGCCAATATACAGCCTCGGCCTATTTCTTCATTGATATATGAATCTTTAAAAATAATATTTATTTCTCAGTGCATTTAAGATTAACCATCCAGCCACTTTTTCTAGTCTTGATAATTAACATTTCAAGTTAATCTTTTAAGAATTTTATATATTTATATTAATTTATGTCTTAAAATGTGACTAGACTCGTTCTCTGCAGCCTGTGTGGAATATCACCTGGGAACCTGGGGGTCAGAAGTGGAGCCAGGGAGACACCCTGCAGGTATGGCAGAGTGTTCACGCCCTCAAGGGCAAGATGAAGATGTGGGCCAGCCAGCACGGCTTCTCTCTCACTGTTCCTGGCAATGGGGTGAGTCTCGGGGGGGTTGCAGGTGACACAGGTGCGACGAGTCGTGAAAGTTTTTGATGGGACATTCCATAATGGGATGTGCTCAGTGCAGTTGGAGGTATTCCATAAAATTACTGTGGAATACTTGTTTTATTAGAAATTTGTAGAATTGTTGTTAATAGTTTGACAATCTCATAATTTAATTATGTATGAGTCATGTCTATCCCATTCAATATTTGATGCTTTGTTTTCTCAAGGAACTATATATATATATATATATATATATATATATATATATATATATATATATATATATATATATATATATATATATATATATATATATATATATATATATTGTTTTTGTTGCAGTTCCTGCCTGGAAAGGATTACATGGTGGTGGCTCATCTAGAGACATCAGACGGACGTAGCAGTGACGCCATAGGTATGACCATCACTACCATGCCTCCAGACCAGCTGCTCCAAGTTAGCATCAGTGGCCCGACTGTAGTGAGGGTTGACAGTCGCTTTAAATACAAGGCCAAAGTGTCTCTCTGCTCACACACCGACACTCTGGCAGATGATCTCAAGCTGCAGGTATGCTAACTGAAAATATATTCTTCTCTCATATGTTTTTCAGAGGCATAATTTGTAACCATCAGTCGATGAGAAAACTACTTATTTGAGTGATTTATATTACAAAGCTAATTTCACCTTTCACCGTGTGATAATAATATGTTTATCAGTGAAACAAAATAATATGCGTCCTTGAGGCCTGAAATTTTGGCCACATAATGCTTGATAAGCATGGCATTTTATAGCATTTCCCACGTGAAGTTTCATGTCATTGTTTATCATAAACTATCTTTATTAATTATGTTCCAAATAATTACTTGACTATATACAACTTTTTGGCACCAAAGTTTCCACATGTAACACGATGCATAAGCAGAGTTAATCCTCATGAATTAATTATATATATATATATATATATATATATATATATATATATATATATATATATATATATATATATATATATATATATATATATATATATATATATATATATATATATGTATCTCAATGTTCTGTATCAATCCAATTATTTTAACCTTACTCTCAATACTGTCCCCTTCATCATCAACTCTTCCATCATATCTTCTACTCATGGCTTGTTTACTCTCCCGGGGTAGTATTACTGGAGTGTTGACGGAGAAGGAACCAACACGGGCGAGTTGATAGGGAAGAGTATCACCCTGCCTGCTGGAAGCCTACGTGGCGGTCACGCCTACATCCTCAGTGTTACCGTTATAGCTGAAGACCCTACTGTCATGGGCACTGTGAGTATGCTCTCACTCTTATCACAAGTCTTGAGTGTGTTCTCACTTTTACCATGAGTGCTGAGTGTGTTCTCACTCTTACCACGAGTCTTGAGTAGGTACATACTCCTAACACGAGTCTTGAGTGTGTTTATACTCCTAACACGAGTCTTGAGTGTGTTTATACTCCTAACACGAGTCTTGAGTGTGTTTATACCCCTAACACGAGTCTTGAGTGTGTTTATACCCCTAACACGAGTCTTGAGTGTGTTTATACCCCTAACACGAATATAAAGTATTTTTGTCTCTGAGGATGTATTGGCTGCTGTCAATTTTTGTAGCATATGCTAAATGGCGATAATCCAGAGCATATTTCAATTGCTATTTCTTGTTCGGAATATGTACATACATTATGTGTCTGTATTTGTTTAAATATATAATAATATAATATGTTTCTACTCAAATATAACTGCTCTCAAATATTCAGTTTTGAATATCAGAAATATTTATAATCAACGATTAATTTTAGTAATATCGTTTATTAATATTTTGGTGTTATTTTTCTGTGTAATTATTAAATAATGATGTCCCCCTCAACAGGGTAAGATTGAGATCACAACCGTGTCTCAAGGGTTGGAGGTCATCACTTCCACAGACTCCCTCATGTTGGGTTCCGTCTCTCCCATCAAGATTGATGCCTCTAAGTCCATGGATAAAGACAATCTGCAGGGTGCCCTGTCTTTCAGGTGGGCATTTCATTAAGTTGGGGAGAAAATGTGTAGGATATGATAGGACCTTACTGAATGGAGAAATTATAGAATTAAAATGGGTTGGGCGCCCCTTAGAAGGTTCCTAGTTGCATTCCACTCAAGAAGTAATACAAGTAATATTCGTCAACATTAAGGATACCTCAGTGCCACCTGCCCTTCACCCATTTTTTTCTCCTATATAGTATTTATTATTAGTCAAACAAAAATGCTAATTAGGTATACATATTTTCCTGTTGCCTAAATATGAAGGTGAAAATCATCATTAATGCAACACTTTTTACTTTTTTTCCAAATTACAAAGTATGTATATTTAAGACTTTTTTTTTAAATTGCATTTGTATATTTTTTCCTGGATACTATTTAAAAAAAAAATACAGAGCACTTTTCTCGCAAGAATATTGTTAATACCAGGTGACGATATCCTTGTAACGAAAGTTTTCAAACTCATAAATGGCCTTGCATCAGGCCGTTCTGTGGAGTTGTTACAACGGATAGAAAATAGTGTATTAAATTACCCGAACCCAACCTAATCGATAGACCCACGCATAGAAAACACCAACTTTTGTGAACCGCTATGATATAAAGTGTGTCATATTTTGTCCACTGGGGAACTTTGACGTCAAAATACTATGCATTAATTCGAGAGGACAGGTTGCTGGCATGCAGTATACATGTTGCTATTGTTTTCGTGCTTATAAATTTTAATAGTCGTTTTTTATATAACGTTATGTTCATTGTCAGATGGTGGTGCAGCACACAAAATGGAGGTGGCTGTTATACCAGTAGTGGCGGAACTCTCACGCGGTTTGAGAACACTCTCTCAGACGATGAACTTACCAAGGCCACACTCAAGATTCCAAGTGCCTTACTACCACCTGACAGGTCAGTTGACCGTAACACCCATGGGGAAGACTGTGACCCCAATGTGACTACTTACTAGGTGCCTTACCCTATGGAGATGGTTGTGACGCCACTGTGACTAGTATTACAAAGTGCTTTATTTTCATGCTATATATGAAAGATAATCTGTTGTGTTGAGGCTGTAGGGAAGGTGTACATGATGTGCTTCAGGGCGAGCGATTAATAACTTGTACATTTTTCTAGGTACAATATGACCGTGGAGATAAGAAACAGAGAGAGCAAAGCGGAGAAGACCGTGGGCGTGGAGGTGGTGGCCGGCCAGTGCGCTCTCATCACCACCAAGCCCACAGCCACGGTCGTCGACCCACAGAAGAGGGTGAGGCGCTGATCAGGGTGTGAGGAAGGTCAGAGAGGGGAGGGGGGTAAGAGAGTCATGGATAGGGGTGGTGGTAGGGGGTCAAGGAGATGGGTGAGAGGAGTAGTGTGTCAGGAAGAAGGGTAGAGGTAAAGAGCCAGGCAGAAGGGTATGGGTAGAAAATCGGGTAGAGGGGTTTTGGGATAGATAGTCAGGGAGAGGATATAGGGTAAGGGAGAGGAAGATAAAAACATATGAGGGGTACAGGGAGCCGGTCGGCCGAGCGGACAGCACGCTGGACTTGTGATCCTGTGGTCCTGGGTTCGATCCCAGGCGCCGGCGAGAAACATTGGGCAGAGTTTTTTTCACCCTATGCCCCTGTTACCTAGCAGTAAAATAGGTACCTGGGTGTTATTAGTCAGCTGTCACGGGCTGCTTCCTGGGGATGGAGGCCTGGTCGAGGACCGGGCCGCGGGGACACTAAAAAGCCCCGAAATCATCTCAAGATAACAGTTTCCACATAAAATGATGCACATGACTTTTAAGATTTGTATAAAGTTTGGTGTACTTTATTCAAGAGTCTAGAAAGCACTATATTTCTTCAATGTTAAATAAAGGTAAATTTATTTGCAACATGATTTTAACTTATATATATTTGGGCATCATTTTGCATATGCCTGTCTTGCTAGATGCTTTAAGAAAGTAGATAAACCAACTTTATCATATAGTGAAAACAGGCATAATCACTAGAAATAGATTTATTTGTATTATTTATCAACCTTATTGAATGGTAATGTTGCAGATCCGTATACCCGCCTCCATCACGGGTCCAGCAGACCTACAGGTACAGTGGTGCTCGGTGAGTGAGCCTGGACTCCTCGATGTTGACATCTCCCAGCTGCCTGTGGGACAAATTGCCAAGCTTGGGGTGAGTGAGGCCCGCATGGGTTTAAGCGATAACGTAAAGAAATCAAATTTATAATATTCTTTTGTGTTTTGAAACTTACATATAATTTATGTAATTATTGCTGTGTTTTAAATATGTTTTATGTTATGTATATTATATGATGAATGTATTTGAGTATAACAAGTTTTAAGTGATGATAAATGAAGAATATTGTGCCTATAAATAATAGTCACCAACATATTCACACATTTTCAGTTACATTAATATAGTAGCTGTATATCTGTTAGTTTTATATCAACTTGACTCATACCAGATGATCCAATCATTTTCGATATATGTTTAAAGCTGCTCTGTAGTTAGATCAGTTACGTAGTGTTACACCAAGCCGGGAGTGAAAACTTGGTTGGTGTGCTGACACCAAGACTTGTGTTAAGTTAATTCGTTTCATTGATTCAAATCAGTCATATAGAGTCACTGAGAAGGGAAGCTCTATCATGCCCCCGAGTGCTTGGGGGCACAAGCACTCCACCTTCTACTCTCATTTTAGTCGGTACATATCATCTTTATCTTTCTTTAACTGACATGCAATTATGCCAATTACCTTTTTTCTTTTATCACTGTCTTCTCCGAATTTCAGCCATTGGTGCATTAGCACTCCCATCATTCACATATTTTACTTTAACTACAACTTACTAATCTTAAGATGTTTACCTTTAATGTTGGTTTCTTCTTGACATTTACTAGTTGCAGTTTAAACCTGTAACTGTGCAGTTGTCAGGCCTAATACTCCAGAGAGTGCAGGGGGATGACTGCACAGTAGCACCTGCAAACAAAGTCGTGGGTTACCTTGCAGTGATTTCGGGAGTCGTCCACCCCGGCCCGGTCTCTGACCAGTCCTCCTGGTTGATGGACTGGTCAACCAGGCTGTTGGACACGTATGAATCACAGCCTGGTTGATCAGGTATCCTTTGGAGGTGTTTATCGAGTTCTCTCTCGAACACTGCGAGGGGTCTGCCAGTTATACCCCTTATGTGTGGTGGAAGCGGGTTGAACAATCTCTGGTCTATGATCTTGATAACGTTCTCTCTCAGAGTACCTATTGCACCTCTGCTTTTCAACAGGGGAATTCTGCACATCTTGCCATGCTTTCTGGTCTCATGTGATGTTATTAATCATGTGGGTAATAGATCATCCACTATGCCTTAGGTAGCGTTAGCTCTCTAGGGAATTCCTGAATGTAAACGCTCGCTCGATTATGCGACCGTAACTTTTAAATAACTGTTAATCCCTTCATGTATATTATTATCCCGTTATCTCCCGACAAGTGCTTGATAAGATTCGTGAAAGTGGCTAACGCGATCATGATGACATTAATCTACACATCAAGAGGAACGTTGTGAAGTTTAGTAAATGAGCATGTATAAGGTTTGGTAGCAAAGGTTATATGTGCGCAGCATATATATGCAGATTTAAATAACACTGGTTTTATTTTCTATTGACAGGGAGAATCTAAGGAGCGGGACTATGACTTAGTACTTCCCAAACCCAAGGAAGGGGGAATCAACTTCCCTGGACTGGTTGGTGATGCTTCATACAAGTTTCGTATCTTGGTGAAGTCTCCTGCCGGGTACTCGTGCTTCAGTGACTTACGCCTCAAAACGAACTCACCGCCTGAGGGAGGGATCTTTAAGGTACGTATATAGCTATCTATTACTGATTTTCTTAGTGTTAATTTCTTTAAACAAAGATTTGATCTACATTTAAAATATTCGTTTGGAAGATTAAATGCTTGTGATAATTCCTATTTGTATTTGTGTCTTTATAATCTCTGATTAATAGCATCCAATAGATATTACAGCTTGGTACAAAGAGTGATTTATAGGCTGGCTTCATACCACAAACAAAATTTCATGTTATATTCAAAAGTTAGAATGATAGTCATGGTGAAACTAGAGTAAATATCGTTCTCTTAAAGAACGCCATATCTCTAGGCATAAAGTAACATGGCAGTCTCAAGCCTGGCAGTGTTATGCACGTCAAAATAACTTAGTGTAGTGAGAATATAGTTAGCAAGATCTGAGAGAAAATGCTATTCCAAGTATACTTGTATACATTAGTTGAGCTCGTGAGGCAAACGGATGCTTTTCTGCAGTGAATCATAAGATATGGAAGAAAACGATAGTGAAAAAAATTCAAACACAGCTGTGTTTACAATCCACTGTAGAAATACCAAGAGGTAGACAAATTTTTATGTATTTTTTGTAATTTGTAAAAAATAGATGGCATGAGTTTTAGTTTAATTTAAAGCAACTTTTGTAATCCATTATTCTCAAATATAAAATTAGCAAACTAATGTAAAATACAAATAGAACACCAGTTGGTGTTATTATTTGGTTATTCTGATGATTATTACTGACTATAATTATGTTACCTCACATTTCTCCCGATAATAATCTTCCCTTTCCTTTTTCCTGCAGGTAGTGCCGACTAATGGTAAGGCTCTTGTCACCAACTTTACCTTCAGTGCCTCATACTGGACAGATTCTCCAGAGGATCTGCCTCTGGCTATTTCCTTTGGATATCGCCTTGAAAGTGCCGAAGGATTTCCTATTGCTTGGCCATTTATTACTACTGACAATGATCCATCTAAAACTCTACTTCTTCCTGCAGGTGGGTGTGTGAAGAATTATCCACCATGTGGGGTATATGTCCAATATGGTCACGTCAGGGTCAAAACTAATGAATGAGGTACACGAAAAAACATTGTCAAAGATACCCTGTAAATCTTCTTGTGATTCTGGGAACAGCTGGTTCTCTTAAACGTTCTAAAAAACAAAATTAAAAAACTAAATTTTCTCAAACCATACAGTGAAACATCATGCACTGATATTTACGAATTTAAAAAAAAATCTACTATTATACTCTTGCCATAACAGGTACATATGTCTGTCATCAACTTGTCATCAATTCGAACTCTGCCTTTGATAATGTTAACAAGAGTTATCGAAACTCACGTCTTAGCATCAGGCCAAATATAATCGTAAAAATTAACTTTGGAGAGTTTATTTTTTCACTTCCTTCTCAAGTGAAGAAAAGCGTAAGTAAAATAGAAAAGATTCGGACTAGAATCATTGATCTCACCCTGTCTATCACATTCAATAATCTATGTCTACAGGAAACGCTGCTACCAAAATATACTTTTATATATATATATATATATATATATATATATATATATATATATATATATATATATATATAATATATATAATATAAAATATAATTTAATATATATATATATATATATATATATATATATATATATATATATATATATATATATATATATATATATATATATATATATATATGTATATGTGTGTGTGTGTGTGTTTGTGAGAAAAAGCTGCAGGAACACGCAAGCCATAGATGACTAAGAACTTTAACTTTAATTGACCCGGCCAGGATTCGAACTCATGCCGTCCAGGATCATCCCTAAACGTACACAGTACCGTGACTACCGCACCATTGATCATAGACGATCATCGTAGACGGTCACTGATAAACGATCAACGTTTATCGCCTTCTGTGCAAATCATATATTTTACAAGTAGTTTATTTATACTATATAGCTGATAATTACTTAAGCAGTAAAAAAAGTTCTATTCCCACAGGGTCGAATCAATCCAAGGTTATTCCTCTAGTAAAAATATGTGACATCCATGGTGCCTGCACAATCAGAGAAGGCAAGGTGTTGACTCTTACCCTCGCTTCTGAGATACCAAAGGAACTCCTCAGGTGAGAGACTTAGAAGTATCAATTAAACAAAATGTTCTCTTGCTGTTAGATTCGTAATTAGGAAGCACCAACCAGTTGGCTCTTATATTGCTCGTCTAATCAAATATCTTAAACCAGAAAGCTACTGTTGTTTTAGGTTCAGCTACTTGGAACAAAAGTTCCAAGTAGCATGGGCTATGGTGAGCCCGTAGTACGCAACTCATGTGTTAAATGTTTTAATGCATGTATTAAATGCCTTACTATGAAATCATATAGTGATTCAGAAATTTATATATAATAAAGTATGAAGTGAATACATTCAGAATCACTACAATCAGCAGTAGATGTTTCATACAGTCTAATAGCGTGAGCCTTTAATAAGAACACGAGTTCAATGATTTAATATTTTCTGAGAAGACAATATTTCTTGGTGTAACGACCTTATTATCTGGTATGAGGTGGTAACTATAATTATCTCTATAAAAATTTATATTAACTATGCCAGATGTAAATAGTTCAATATGTTATTAAATATACAAATTTCACAAGTGAGTGAGATAATGTAAACTTTGAGCAAAAAATTAAGCCTTCTGTATTTTTTGCTTTAATTAAAACTATCCCTTAAGCTTCCTTGAAAGTTGTTTATGAATATTTATCAAAATTTAAGCATAAATAAAAAATAAGTATAAGACTCATCACATAAATAACCCAGTTTTCATTAACCCAATTTTCAACAGTACTCTCATCAGAAATTTCAAGGAGCGAATGAGTGACGACGACTTGACGAAGTCTGGCCTGGACACCATCACAGTCCAGCTAGCAACACTCACAGCCATGAACCTGGGCTCTGAGGCCGCTGTCCTCACACAACGGGTTGAGGACGTCATTAGGGAGAAGCTCTCCACACTCTCTGCCAGGTGTGTGTCACCATATAACACACAACTGTACATATTTGGTATCTTATCTCGATTACAACATTTTTGGCGTAATTGTTTAGAGGAACTGGTGAATACTTTTCATGACACCTCATTTCATTATTTATTATAGCTTTCACATATATGAAAGAAAGCTTTAATGGTCCCAAAGCCATAAATCACTGAGAACTCTATGACCCGACAAGGGGTTCCAACCTGCATTACCAAAGATCACCCCAATAGGCATAAACAGTACCAATATCACTTCACCTGCGAGTGTATATATATATGGGTTAGTTCTGGATCTCACTACATGAGCTTCATAGCCAACCAACCCCCGGCAACTCTCGTGGAGCGATTTGGGCAGTTTTTAATCCAAGCGTAGTGCATGTAATCTGGTGAAGGGGTACTATGAATGTCAGTTGAATGAGCTCTGGTAGTGCAGGTTCGAATCCTTGTCGGGTCTTAGATATAAGATGCACTCTATTATTGCTTCGCATTTTTGTTTTTCTTCAGAATGGATAATGATGTGGCATCCATTGTAAGATCTTTAAATATTCTGAAAGGTTTAAAAAACATGTTAAAGCAATTCCCAGTCAGCCAAGATATTTACTACAAGATAAAGAACTTTGGTCGATTGCTATCGGCTGCGCTACTAGGAGACCCGGTCCAAGATGTGATCCCTGACCTACCTGTGGACACGTCTGAAGAAGGTGAAGAGGAGGACGACGACGCCGTCCATTACCCTAGTAGTGACGATGACCTAGATGCTGTCAGGAATAAAGAGTAAGTTTTAACAAAATTTGTTCAGTATGTATTCTCTACGATTATTTATTTGATTATATTTTAAGATTATAAGTAAAATTAGGTTTCATTTGTATTATTTTAATTTATTAGTGGTAATGAAATTATTTGAAACCATCTTTGTGTTATTTAATTATTGGAGTACAGATTTAGAGCAGCCAGTCTACAAGCAAAACAGCTCATTTGCATAGTTACAGGTTTAGTTGGCATAGGTTACGTTTGGTCATAATTCTGTCTTATTTTTGACTCCAATTAAAAAAAATAATAATAAAAGTGCCGGGGCTGTAACTGTAACTTGCGAGGTTGTTGTTGTTTAAGATTCAGCTTCTAGGAACAAAAAGTTCCAAGTAGCACGGGCTATGGTGAGCCCATAGTAGACTTACTTGGCACAGGAGCGGGGCTGTAACTAGGCTTGTGAGGTTTGCCGTTGTTTTAGATTTAGCTACTCGGAATGAATTGTGTATGTAGCGCGGGCTATGGTGAGCCCCTAAACACGCTTGCGAGGAGAAATCTAGAGATTTTGTAAGTGTGGGTACACCTCACTCTGCGATTCACCTAACCCTCTTAATCGTAGGGAGCGGCGAAGGGTAGGGTGAGGTGATTGTTGCCTGACTCCGACTTCTAGCTGTCCGCCAGGTCTTACATCTTCCCTCAGGGTCAATAGAGAACCATCGAATAGCTGTATGCTCGAAGTCGAATTCATCTGGATTTTGATTAATGGTGTCAGTTCCCGAATGATCACAGCCTCCTACGATCGTCGATGCGTGTGATTACAGTCATATTGAGAATGGTGTTGTTTAATACTTCCGTCTTGCAAATTAAGTGTAAACATCTACTCAGTGTATTCGTGGTATGTCCAATGTAGCATACATTTCGGAGCGCATAGTCTCGATATCTAGAGCTGCATTTTTTATTGATTCACTACATTAGTACACCTCAGTTTGTCAGAGGAGGCAGAGACATGTAATTTCTCATAATGAGGAAAGATGTACAAGGGTTGCTATAATAAATGACAGGGCGAATCCTTACGTTTTCACTGCAAGGTTTGCAATTCCTCTCAATTATCAATTATGTCTCGTATCGCCTTCTCATCCTTCCTGTATGCCTGAGTGAACGTATTTTTATAATACATTACACTGTCTTCTCTTGGCGGCCGATTTTAAACCCCTGGGACCTGATTATCATCCTGTCAGATGGTGGCCTAGCTTATTACTTACGATTTCGTCGAAATCTATAATGCGGTATTGGCAAAATTTTCAGAAGAATTACTTTCATGTCTCTCGTTATTATTTGCACACCATTTGAAACGACAGCATATAATTTTTGTTAAATAATTGTTCATTTTCTGGCAGCTCGTCATCTTCGCGAGAGCTGCACTCACAGGGGAACAGACAACGACGAGTTAAGCGCAGCTCCCCTCCAGCCAACGGTACCCAGCAGTTGAGGAGCATCAGTTTAGACGGGGTGTGTACTGGTTATTGCTGAGCAGCATCAGTTTAGACGGGGGTGTGTACTGGTTATTGCTGAGCAGCATCAGTTTAGACGGGGTGTGTACTGGTTATTGCTGAGCAACTACACTTTAGACGGGCAGTGTGTAATGCTGAGCAGCATCAGTTTAGACGGGGTGTGTACTGTATTGCTGAGCAGCATCAGTTTATTGTACTGCTGAGCAGCATCAGTTTAGACGGGGTGTGTACTGGTTATTGCTGAGCAGCATCAGTTTAGACGGGGTGTGTACTGGTTATTGCTGAGCAGCATCAGTTTAGACGGGGTGTGTACTGGTTATTGCTGAGCAGCATCAGTTTAGACGGGGTGTGTACTGGTTATTGCTGAGCAGCATCAGTTTAGACGGGGTGTGTACTGGTTATTGCTGAGCAGCATCAGTTTAGACGGGGTGTGTACTGGTTATTGCTGAGCAGCATCAGTTTAGACGGGGGTGTGTACTGGTTATTGCTGAGCAGCATCAGTTTAGACGGGGTGTGTACTGGTTATTGCTGAGCAGCATCAGTTTAGACGGGGGTGTGTACTGGTTATTGCTGAGCAGCATCAGTTTAGACGGGGTGTGTACTGGTTATTGCTGAGCAGCATCAGTTTAGACGGGGGTGTGTACTGGTTATTGCTGAGCAGCATCAGTTTAGACGGGGTGTGTACTGGTTATTGCTGAGCAGCATCAGTTTAGACGGGGTGTGTACTGGTTATTGCTGAGCAGCATCAGTTTAGACGGGGTGTGTACTGGTTATTGCTGAGCAACTACACTTTAGACGGGTGTGTACTGGTTAATGTTGAGCAACTACACTTTAGACGGGCAGTGTGTAATGGTTATTGCTGAGCAACTACACTTTAGACGGGGGTGTGAACTGGTTATTGCTGAGCACCTACACTTTAGACGGGCAGTGTGTACTGGTTATTGCTGAGCAACCACACTTTAGATGGGGGGTGTACTGGTTAATGTTGAACCACTATACTTTAGACGGGGGATGTACTGGTTAATGCCGAGCAACTACACTTTAGACGGGCAGTGTGTACTGGATATTGCTGAGCAACCACACTTTAGATGGGGGGTGTGTACTGGTTATTGCTGAGCAACTACACTTTAGACGGGGGGTGTACTCGTTATTGCTGAGTAACTACACTTTAGACGGGAGGTGTACTGGTTAATGCTGAACCACTACACTTTAGACGGGTTATGTATTAGTTAATGCTGATGACATTACCATGATGGCTTTGGAGAGATACGACAGGGAAATGACAGATTTTTATTTTTTTATAAAATGAAAAATAAAATGCAAGAGTACCCAGAGTTATAATGGGTGAAGAAGTATCGGAAAAAATAGCAACAAATATGATTTGGAAATTATAGTGTAGTATTTAGCACGGTGGGTAAAATACGTGAATGAGAATGTCATATATGAAGACAGGGCAGTTAAATGTTCCTTTAGAATTTTTACATAGGTTTACTACTCGCAGACAAAATAATTTCCTGTTCGGCATTGTAACTTTCCATTGTTCACATAGGATGATCAATATACTGTATATCTACAAAATTTCAACTGTATTGTCAATAGCTTGATATCAACTAATTTAGCTCTGTTGCAGGTGGTTACAGTGCTGGAGACATTTGAGCAAGGTATTGTAGCAGCAGCAGCTAGTAGAGACACGACGGCAGACATGGCAGAGCTGCTCGGTAATCTACCCAAGTGAGTAGTAGCTCTGAGTATTGTCATTGTTCATTCTTATTTGTTCTTGAGTAATATCACCTGAGTCTTGGTTTGGTGTTGAGTTTAACGACTATCAGCCTCTAAAGGGTTATTAAGACAACCTCAATAGTTTGCTGACCAACCAGCAAGATACTTTAGTCTTTAACATATTTCAAACCAAAGTAAACTCAATGTATATGCACTGAGAAGTGAGTTATACCTCTCAGTGTATATATCCACTCTTACCTGTATTTTTCCTCCTCACTTTCTTTAATTGTCTCTTTATTTTTCTTAGTGAGAGATTGCTTGTGTTTATGCTAATGTAAATCAACTATTTTCCATAAATATTTGGAAAGTATTTTTAGAATTACAACATAGTTGTACAAAAGAAAATATAGCTTGTGTTAAAAGCCCTGTAATTTAAAACTCATTAAATAATACATAACTATTTAATATGTAAAATATTTTAAAGAAACTAAATAGCAAAAGCTTAATACTGAGTCATTTTATTTTCAGGTATTCATCTGGTCTCTGTCTTGGAATGAGCTCACAAGATGAGCCAAGTAGTGTTCTAGGAACCTTCGTAGCAATGACAGTGGTGAGGTTCAGTCAGGACCAGTCAGACACCATGTTCACCATTGCTAATAGTAAAGGCAGAAAAGACGACTTCGTTGATGATGACAGCTTTGTAAGTTAACGTATTTGTTAAGGAGGCTTAACATTCTTTATTAATAAATAATTATTAAAATTCTTTGTTTATGAAGTTTTTGCAAGTACTTTATTTATAGAAACTCGTCTGACAATCTTAATCCTCCATGAAAAGAGTCAGGCTTCTTTTTGTTTATTTTATTTATTTATTTATTTATTTATATATATATATATATATATATATATATATATATATATATATATATATATATATATATATATATATATATATATATATATATATACAAAAAGGTACATTGGGATTGTGAGGATACATAGAATAGTAATTACAATCTTGTAAAGCCACTAGTACGCGCAGCGTTTCGGGCAGACGTCTTTATCTTACGTCTTCACCCATATAAGTAGGATACACTTTTCCAAACTTTCCTGGAGAGTTTCGACTTGAACTAAAAATAGTGTCCAAGTTTAATTTGATCAAATTCTTGAGTACTGAGGTTGGTTTACACACAGTAAATAGCTCAGTTGAATCTTTTTCAAGTTTTATATTTTTTTCTGTTTCATTAGAATAAAAATATTTCACTGATATTTTCCAAGGTATGAAAATCTAGGGTTTAGAATGTTAGTATGGAAGTTAATATTCGAGTCAGTTTAAAGAAATAGTCATTCATTTTAAATTTGTTACCAGTTTGCTAAAATTTACCTCTGTAATTGATCCTAGATTGCATCTTAGGTTCGCCTTGAATGAAAAAACAATTAGGATCTCATGTTCTTATCCCATCAAAAGTATCTTCATGCTAATCAGGATCATTTTTACTCTTCTTACCAATATATCAGAAGATTATCACAAATTTTATGATTTGCTATTTGACCATATTTCTGTTTGCTAAATTCTATCTGAAGTTTTACTAACATCATATAAGTTCTTACAGTATTTGTTTCTGCTCTCTTTACTGTTGTGTGATGTGGTTTTCAGGGCCATCTTATTTTTCTTAAGTGTACTGTTGAAGTTTTTGTTTGTGATCTCGCCTCGTCTCCCTCAGGTCATCTGGGGTGACATTCTGCTGGAGTACAAGGAGTGGTCTTGTGGCAAAAAAGGTGACGAGGGAAATGCTATACCATGTTATGGTGCCTGCCTGGCCACCATGTTGCTCAAGAGTGACTACTTGTCACCCATCACTGGTGCCGAGGAGCCAGGCAACCTTACGTGAGTTCTGGTCGTCCTTCCTCGTGTACATATCTGGTTTAATTAATATCCTGTTGATATTTTAAACTCTACGGCTCGTTGTACAACGCTTCTCTTGAAATGCACAAAGAATTCATCTCCACATTAGATTATAAAGAAATTAAAAACAAAAAATAATATTTTTATAAACTAATAATTGGTAAATATTTTATATATTCAATCACCATTTATTACCTGACAATTTAATTTTTGCACGTCCATCTTCGTAACTACTGCAACATTTTCTATAATAATCTTAACTAATTCAACAAAGAGAATAGAGCATAGGAAGGAATAACTACTTACTTATCATCAACATATTGTGTTATGAGAATAAATATCTTTGCAATTTGTCATTTGCAGATTCCATCACATACGGATCTTATAAAGAAAGTGATGTGAAAATGGTGTACGTCGGCTTGTATTGAATGTTACAACATACTTAGAAATCAAGAATAGATATTAAAGTTCACAAAATTTTATTCTATATTTTGCAAATCTTTATAAATAGTGATTTACCTTAGGGCCACCATCTATATATCCAGTGGCCTCGGCGGGGACAGGAAGCCGGTCTCTTGTCAAAGATCCCCCCCAATTGTATCTACCTTTGAAAACAAGGGATATTTATGTATACACCAAAGTGTGCACCCCGCTACTCGGAGTATATACAAAGTATACTGTACTTGATGGCTAGTCAGGAAGCTATTGCGGTAGTTTTAAAAACACTCCCGTGGTTGTTAGGCCTTAAACCGCAACCCGTTCTCGCACTTGCTTACAGCCAATATTGGCTTATTTAATAAGTGCATATGTGACATACTAATTGATTGCGAATATTTTAGTTTACCTTGAAAAGCTTCATATAAAACACCGACCTCACCTAACCTTCTTAGTATGTTAAGATAAGCATCTTATTGCTTCTTATTTACAATTAGTACTTAACCTATCAACGTTATAGGTTAAGTAATAATTGTAATTAAGAAGCAATAAGATGCTTATCTTAACATACTAAGAAGGTTAGGTGAGGTTGGTGTTTTCTATGAAGCTTTTCAAGGTAAACTAAAATATTCACAATCAATTAGTATGTCACATATGCACTTATTAAATAAGCCAATATTGACTATAAGCAAGTGCGAAAACGGGTTGCAACCTAAGACTAATCCGAAATACAGCTGGTCAATTGCTGCAGATCCAGTTGCAGGTAGTTACTAGTACGCCCACAGCTCCAAAATTGTTAAAATATAGTTCGTGTGTTACATCAGTGTTAATTAAGTGCACATGGCTGTCAAGTGATGGTGTAAACAGTCACGTTTGTAGTGGCAGAGTTTGAGTCATGTTTATATAGCGTTCTTTAGAGTATCAAAGATACAAATTTTTTAAGATGAGTTAGAATTATGCAGAAGACAATTTAAATATTAACGGTGTACACTTAGTCATTTAGTTATTATGTAAACGTACACCCTTTGCAACACAAGTTGAATATGAAAACAAATTTAGCTCAAGTTAAGCAGGAGTCCGTTGACCCTATACTGTAAGCCAGAACTGCCTGATAGATGTTACCAAGTTATATATGTTTTCTTGCAGAACGCCTGTTGCAAAGACTATCCTAATCAACCCTGCAACAGGTGTAGAGATTCAAGTCAACATGACCAAGGACAAGATCGCCTATCATTTGGTTGTACTAAATGACACAATAATTCCAGCCGGCTACCAATTAAAGGTGAGATTATTTTTGACGTCATATTTTCAGTAAGGTCACTTTTATCATTGATGAAGGCGATTAATTTTTAGTTGCAAATGTATCTGAAATTCTCTCTCTCTCTCTCTCTCTCTCTCTCTCTCTCTCTCTCTCTCTCTCTCTCTCTCTCTCTCTCTCTCTCTCTCTCTCTCTCTCTCTCTCTCTCTCTCTCTCTCTCTCTCTCTCTCTCTCTCTCTCTCTCTCTCTCTCTCTCTCTCTCTCTCTCTCTCTCTCTCTCTCTCTCTCTCTCTCTCTCTCTCTCTCTCTCTCTCTCTCTCTCTCATATTATAATATGTGATAATTGTTAATAATTTAATAATCTCGTTTTAATAATCTCTCACTGAAATAATTACATTTCATTTACCAGAACAGTCAGAGCCTCGAACCACCTACCACATAGCCAGTAGCCAACTTCTCTTTCTACTGAGCCACTAACACCCTTTTAAAAGGATGGATGCCACAGGCACCTATGTGTTGCCCCACTGGAATTTTAGACCTTCCCCTGGGGGTGTCATTTTGGCACGTAGGTGACAGGTGACCCACGTCCTAGTCATATAAATTTCTAACCCTCATATGGTGGATCATAACATGACTATCTATGTCGAGGCTCTGATAGGCCTTCTGCAGTTTCCTTAATTCTCATGTTTTTAAGCTTACACATTTGAGAAAAGTTCTTTACAGAGAGCAATGAAATGTTTATTTTTGTTTTTTTTTTAGTATTCTTACATGTAGATAATGTAAGAATCATTATCACAGTATCTTGAAGTTTTCGTATTGTCTATTATTAAGGAGAATTCTCATTGCACCTGGTGCTATACTTGGATTCCACTTTAAATTACGAGTTGATAATTGTTCTTTCCCACAGTGCTTTGGCTGGGACGGGGATGAGTGGAATGGGACGCTTTGTCTCACTGGCAAAGTTGTTACTAGAGGCAGTGTCAAGAGGCTCCGGTGCCTCTGTAAGAGTCCGGTGTATGTGGCGTAAGTGTCCTTCCTCATTTACCAACAGTAGATTTATATTTAAGCAGAAAATGTGCAATGTGTTCCCGTTCTCTGTTTCTTCTTGTCTACTAACTTGAGCTTTTCTAATCTTTTTGTGTGTCTTTCCCTCTATATTCTCTCACTTGTATGGAGGCTGTTGTAAACAGTTTTCCTCTTGTACAGTCTTTTTTCTGTTTTTCACAACTTTCCTCTTGTACAGTCATCCTTTTCATACACGTTTTTCCTGATTACACTATTTTCCCCTTGTACACATTTCCTGTCTTACACGCTTTGTAAGAGATAATACACACTCTTAAACGCTTGTATAATACACGCTTTGTAATACATGCTCTTACACGTTTTTGTTTCATGTCTTACACGCCCAGCCTCCTGTTTTGGTAGTACTTATAGTACCGATGAGGACCATAGTACATATACCGACGTACAATGCAATTAGAAAGTAGAAATCGGTATTATTGAATTTGGACAAACCGGAAAAGATTTTCTATGTTGCAAAGACAAACTAAACTAACTTAACCTAACCTTCCTAAGCCTAATACACGATATGAGGCCTAATAGAGTACATATGTGTGCTATACTAGGCCTAGCAATATTTAAGTTTGTTTTTTAGCTTCATTTTTTCGGACTGAAGCAAATAGTACCAAATTCTACTATCTAATTTAGTACGTCAATGTTTGCACTATGGTGCTTATAGTTACAAAAACTACTATTTAAACAGGAGGCTAGGTTGTACACTTATTCGGTTGTGTATACCCTAACTGTTGTACACACGTTCTTGATGTACACAGTTTTCTTCTTGTATACTCACATCCTGATGTACACAATTTTTGTCATGAATACTCACATCCTAATGTACACAGTTTTCTTCTTCTATACCTCATTTGCTGCTATAACATAACTCACTTCATTGCAAATCATATATTAAAAAAAAAACAGAGAAGAAAATTAAGAATTATTTTAATTTTAATAAATATAATTAGTAATTATATATTTTAAATACAAACTAATTCTTCATTTTCTTGTCTTTTTTTTATTGACAAAAATTTTTCACCCCCAATCTCACAGAGGGTTTGTAAGTGAAGTGTCGGCGTCTGCAACAACCATGACTTCTACCATGTTAGAGACCACCACAATTCTCCCCACTGAGGCGCCTCCCTTCATCCCAGAAAGTGTCCAATATGCCCAGATTGTGTGAGTAAATATATGGCCGGTGTTCACTCGACTAGCATTATTATCTAGACACAAATGGATTGGATAAGTTTAGATTTAGGAAGGACCTGGATAAATACTGGTGTGGGAAGAGAGTGGGTTGACTTATGGAACAAGTTACCGGGTAAAATATTGGACATGGGATCCCTGGATAATTCAAGTGTAGGTTAGATATACATATGAATGTGTCTGGGTTGATATATATATTATATAAGAGTCACTTCGTATGGGCCAAGAGGCCTATTCTGTTGTTTCCTTTGTTGTGAATATAACCTGTAATACTGTTATTTTAACTTTTCAGTTGTCTCTCAGTTGTCTGTTTTATGCTAAATCTTAATCCATTAAGAGCATAATTTATATTACTTCTTATGATCAATGCCTTTCCAGCATTGATGAAAACTTCCATGAAGTGGTTGGAGAGAAAGAAGATGAATTTAAACAATTAGTAGCAAGTCAAATAGCATCACAGCTTAACATCTCTGAGACAAGAATCCACAACATGACAATTAGGAACGGTGAGTAATAGTTGTTTAAAATATATTTTATCTTCTCTTTCAGCAGAATTAGTCTCGTCTAAAAGTATTCACTTAAATATGAGTAATATAGAAAAAAATGGTTAAGGATATTTAAAAAATACACCCTTATCTTCTCCACATGTGTACTGACTACACTGCATCATGGAGAACCATCACTTATAAACCATACTAGCAAATCATGCTCGTCAGCCTCCCATCACTTCCTAAACCTAAGCATAGAGCTTCTTCTCGTCAGACCCAACCACTTGGGCTGGACGGTAGAAGTGACGGTCTTGCTTCATGCTGGTCGGCGTTCAATCCCCGACCGTCCAAGTGGTGGGGCACCAATCCTTGCCCCCGTCTCATTCCAAATCCTTATCCTGACCCCTTCCCAGTGCTAAATAGTTGTAATGGCTTGGCGCTGCCTATCAACCGCGGGAGGGTTATTAAGGTTTAATACTAGCTTACTGACACACCAGCAAGAATAATTTAGGCCTAAATATTGTCGAGGACTAAACTTTATGCTCATTGTACATACACCGAGAACCAGGACACACCTTTTAGAGTGTATATTCCTTGTGAGTCAATGTTTACCTTGTAGAATACTCCAGAGTGTAGCTGGTGGTGACTGTGATGATCTTCGGCAGGGAGCATCATTGTGGGGTTCGATGTGTTGCCTGACCTCACCCGGACCTCCGACAAGACCCCGCAGAAAGTGGTGGATGAACTCTATGAGCTCATCAACTCCGGAGGACTAGTCATCTTGGGACCAACTAACAAACAGTTGAATATTCCCCCACAGAGTATCAATGGCCCATTAGTGCAAGGTACTTATACAAGCGATTGGATTATTGTAGTAAATAATTATTGTCTTAATTGATTAAAAAAAATTGTAATGTCATAATCATCACCTTATTCTTAATCATTTTTTGCTCTATGATAGCTTTAATTTATTTGGAAAACATCATGTATTATGAATTATGATATCTTTAATTTAACATATACTAATAGTATGAAAATAATTTGTGTTCCTATTCTTAATATTTTTATATTAGCATACAATTTGATGTCGTACCTAGTAGCCAGAACGCACTTCTCGGCATACTATGCAAGACCCGTTTTGCCTAATAAGCCAAGTTTGCCAGAGTTTCAATATTTTTCTAAATTTTTTCGTATGAAATGATAAAGCTATTCATATCATTATGTATGAACCATTTTTTTTTTAAATTTGAGTTAAAACTAATGTAGATATATGACAGAACCTAACCATCCCTACCTAACCTAACCTTTCTTAACCTAACCTAAACTAACGAAACTAAATCAATAATTCAAGTTCCTAATATAATATAATAATAATATATAAAATAAACCAATAGGAAACAATTTATTGAAAATAAAGAAAATCACCAAGCTTATTAGGCAAATCGGGCCTTGCATAGTAGGCCGAGAAGTGCATTCTGGCTACTAAGTACGACATATATATATATATATATATATATATATATATATATATATATATATATATATATATATATATATATATATATAATAACTTGCTAAGATTTGACAATTTCTTTGTTTTGAGCTTTCATGCGTACTAAAAGCCCAGCTTTCATGTGTACTAGAAGCTCAATATTCCTCTTTTAAATAATGTTGTATTAAATATTACAACATTACATTTACAGCGCAGAAGGATCCAACGAAGCTGCCAATTATCATCGGTGCCATAGTGGGTGGTATAGTGATGATAGTGATAGTCTTTATCTGTATTGCTATCTACCTCAAGAACAAGAAAAGAATGGACAAGGTTGAGCCGTTACAGGTAAGACGACCTGGCTTATCTTCTCAAGGTTACTTTATATAGGATATTGCCCATATACCCTTGCAGGCTGCCTAACACTATCTTTTTACCATGTCAGCTTTAGTACACTAGATTGGCGGGCAAAGATCCTACTCACAAGGTAACTAAAGTAATTTACTACACATGAATACACTGAGTGAGTGTAAGTGTGAGAGCATGGAGGTGCACTAAAGGTGTGTGAGTGCATGGAAATGTGTGAGATTGGTTGTATATTTGTGTGTAAAAGATTGTTGATCGTGCTGATGAAAGAGAATTTGTGTGTGTGTAAGTGGGTGTGTGAGAAGGTCTAAACTTGTTTGTGAGTCTGTTTAGACCTGTAACTTAAATACTAGATTCAAATATTTTGATCAGCCGATCGTGTTACCTGTTTCAGATAGGCTTAGACATTGCAGTCCACTGATAGTGTACCTGTAATATTGAAGCCAACAGGTTATAGCATTACAGCTAATGTAACATTTTGCAACTAGCAAAGGTAAATTATTAAGTACAGCCGCCAGAAGTAAACCTAGATAACGCATCTATGGAAGAGAGTTTACAGGAGTTTACAGAAGAGAGTTGCCTATTGCATAGGCAACCTGACAGGAGTTGAGTAAGATAAACTAACAGAGTATGACATCATTTGCAACCTGACAATATCAACAACACAAGAAAACTAAGTTGACCAGACCACACACTAGAAGGTGAATGGACGACGACGTTTCTGTCCGTCCTGGACCATTCTCAAGTCGATTGTGAAGAGGAAGTAGATGCAGGCAATAAATAGGCTAGAGAGAGGTGAGGAGCAAAGTGTAGTAGAGGAGAAAACTAACCTGTTCAAGACCATAAGTAAACCAACATGTTCAACGGCACAAGTAAATTGTCTTGACTGAACACTATATGTATTCTGTCAGTTAAATAATGTAAGCTAATGGTATTCAACATTTTAACTAAGCTGACATGATTTAACACTGAGTAAGCAATCAAGGTCAATACAACAGGTAGGTAGACATGATTGTAACTAGCAGTAGAGTTCGAGTTGAGTAAGTTGATAGAGCTTAGTACTTGAGGATGAGTATGCACCAACAGTAAGAGCGGTAGGTCTCATCAATGCTACACTTATTGTTCGTGTTAGAGATATGTAACACGCATTACAATGAAGCCAATGATATTAATCTAACTTACGTAAATGAAAGATTACAATGCCTCCATTTCATATCACCGGAAGTAAGTAATTATTGACTCCAGTGCTTTTAACTGCATGAAAACTGCCAGAACAAACAATTCTCTGATATTCAAAACATTACAAATGACTCATGTGCGTGTCTGTAAAAGAAAAAAGCTAATATTCCCTTGTCATTCAACTGGTTTAATTAATATAGTAAATAATAGTAAGTGAAGAATTTACGTATTTGCTTGTAGATATTTTAATGCACTTATTCAACCACTAACATCAGAGAGAACACAATAATTGCTCAACTGGAAGATAAAGAGATTCGATTCTGCTGAATACCACATGTCAATTAGTATCAATTAAAACTTGGGTAAAGTACGTTTTTTTAGAAGAAGTTGTAAAACATTTGGTAATGTGAATTGTTGTTGGAGGCTCTCTGCTCTAGAGGGTGGTGCGGGATGGTGCAGGTGTTGTGGTGTAGTGTGTGTGTTGCTGTTATGTTGTGGTGTAGTGTGTGTGTTGCTCTTATGTTGTGTTGTAGTGTGTGTGTTGCTCTTATGTTGTGTTGTAGTGTGTGTGTTGCTCTTATGTTGTGTTGTAGTGTGTGTGTTGTTCTTATGTTGTGGTGTAGTGTGTGTGTTGCTCTTATGTTGTGTTGTAGTGAATACTAGAGGAATATTGAGCTTCTAGTACACATGAAAGCTGGGCTTTTAGTACTGATGGATGCCTACTAGTTAGTGTGTGTGTGTGTGTGTGGTGTTGGTTAGAAAGTGTGAGGTAACGTAGTCGTAAATAGTCTAGTATGCTATAGTGCATAGTTTTCCCCTGCAGTGTTTAATGCTTTAGTTTTAAAGGATGCTGTTGTGATATTGTGCGGTGTGCAGTGCCATGAGGGATAGTGTGACACTACATGATTGTGATCATGTGTGGTGTTGTGTTGGTTCGTTATTGGTATTGTTAACTTGTGTTATAGCACTAGTTATGGTCTTAGAGAACGGCGTGGTATGTAAACATGTGCTATATTAAATGAATAAGCACATGGTGTAGGTTAAATTGATGTAGGTGTATGTATGAGAGTTGGTGTAAGTGTGTGTGGGGGGCGAGATGGTGTGGGTGTTGGTTAGAATTGGTGTGGGTGTGAGTAAGAATTAGTGTGTGGGGGAGGGGGAAGAGTTGGTGTGGGATTAACAATCTACTTCAGGAACAAGAAGACCGCTAACTTCCTCATGAAGAAATCCCTCGCCACTAAATGAAACACTTTGAAAGAGACGATTGTCGTCTATGCCTTCACATTCCGACTTGGGGATTGCGGTCAGACACAACGACTTCACTATATAGGCACGACAACAACATCCCATTCAAGGCTCCTGACAATTTACAAACAATAAGACTTCATCAAAGAGCATATAATTTCTACACATAACAGATCATCACCAGAGTTATCCTAAGCAACAGCAACACAAATAATCTACATATACAACAGCAATAGAATCTCAGACATCGGCGAAGCACTTCATATAAACTAATATCAATGCACTTATAACAACCAGCTTACACTCATGTACATTCAACCATCCTCAAACGCGAAGCAGACGATTCAGCACACACTGCCCCTACCACTGCCAACAATAGAATTAACAATAACTAATAGAATTCAATTAATAGAATTAACAACGATACAATAGAATTGTATTGTATTGTATTGTATTGTATTGTATTGTATTGCATTGTATTGTATATAACAAAATTGCACAAGGCCTATTGGCCCAACGTTACCTGACTTCACCTCATCCTTCTTGGTCATATATATGTGGTTGCTTCAGCTAATTTTGTATCCACTGCATTCATCTCTGCCTTTGAAAATGTTGACAGGATCAACGAATGTCTGTCCATATAAAACTGCAAAATGAACTTTGGAGAATTCACTTTTCAAGTTCTTTCTCAAGTGATGAACATAAGAAAGATTGAGAAGATTCGTGCTAGAATCATTGATCTCACTCAAAGTCGTATTCTATTACATGTCTGTAAGAAAGAGCACTACCAAAATATACTAAGTTATATATGTATATTGTGTGCATGTGTTTGTGTGGGTGTGTGAGAATTGGTGTGTGTGTTTGAGAGTGGGTGTGTGTGCGTTTGAGAGAGAGAGAGACTGGAGGCAGGGTGTGAGTGTGTGTGGGTGTGGAGTGAGAAGAAAGCCAAGCTCTTGGTTCTCTGCTGGAGTGAACTGATGATCATGTAATTAATGCTTCTTATATAAAAATAGTGTTTATAATGTAACTGTTTGGTCACAAGATGAAAACAGTGTTATATACAAAATGCTATTTAAACACGGCTTGTGCAATGGTTCACTGTCTTGAACCATTGAACAATGCTTTTATTTAACGAAAACTTTAATGTTGTCAGTTAATATACTCCTTCCACTAAGAATGGGAAACAATTAATGATGTTCATATGTGTGCCAGAAACCATAAATAAGATGTTTCTTTCCAATGTTGGTAAAGTCCTTGATGTAGCCATTATTCTGGCTGTTTGGTTGTGTACTTACAGATGGCTGATTCCAAGCATCCAACATATAGCTCTATACACTTTGAGCAGTCACTAGACGGCACTGTGGCGTCCCTGGCCAAATACCGTAATGCTGCAAATACCAGCAAGTAAGTCAACACGCCACCCACCCTCACCATTACTATCACCGCCCCCCCACATCCACACCCCACTATCACCATCCATCCCCACATCCACACCACACTATCAACATCCTCTCCTACATCAACACCCTACTATCACAATCAACACCCTACTTTCACCCCCCATCAAAACCCCTTCCCCCCACAGTTTCCCCTACCACCGACCTCAATAATAACACCACTACCCTCTTACCCACCATCACTAACACCACCACCACCTTCCTGTCACCACAACCCCACCACTACTATCGCCACACCTACCACCACCATCGCTCACCACCACAACTATCCTCCCTTCCCCTGCCCCTTTCCTACCACATCAGTTAATACTCATGCGTTCCTGTGCATACCTGCACTTACTAGATATACTTGAGAAACAGAACCATAATACCATGTCATCATCCGCTTCGGTAATTTACTATATTATATTGAGTAATTAGTTGTTCCAGCTACAGCTTAGTACAGGAAGTGGAATACAATGTTCAAACACAAATACATACACGGTATCCCGCTGGGCGTGTAGAGTTAAGTGTCTCTGCCTTCTGGCCAACGGGTCAGGAACGGCTGCCAACACCTGTACCTGGTCATCTTATATGAAAGAAAACGAAATATTTAAGTATGACAGCTTGAGAATAATTCAGTTCTTCGCATACTCTAAATATCTAAGACAAAAACGATAATACTATTGCATAGTCGGGAGCCGGTCGGCGGAGTGGACAGTACGCTGGACTTGTGATCCTGTGGTCCCGGGTTCGATCCCGGGTGCCTGCGAGAAACAATGGGCAGAGTTTCTTTCACCCTATGCTCCTGTTATCTAGCAGTAAAATAGGTACCTGGGTGTTAATCAGCTGTCACGGGCTGCTTCCTGGGGGTGGAGGCCTGGTCGAGGACCGGACTGAAGGGACACTAAAGTCCCGAAATCATCTCAAGATAACCTCAAAATAGTAACTCACATTTTAAACTTCAACATTTAATTCCACAGATACACATAGCCTCTCCCACGGGTATAGTAAATCGCTGAAAGGATAACGAGTAATTCATTTTTATCTCATCACCTTCCATGCTATGGGTGATAATGCTTTCCTCCACCACAAACACTCAAGTGAGCTTATGATCTGCGTCTTCCACAGCCGCAGTCTGTCAGCTGGGGGAGCATACTCAGACGAAGGAATTTACATCGAGCGCCGCTCAACCGCCAACAGCTCCCGAGCGGGATCTGGCGGGAGTTCGTCTGGTAAAGGCAGTTATGACTCTGGAACCGGCCAAGACGTTCCTGAGCCTTTCAGATATCGGGTTCCCACTAAGGAGCAGCTGGAACGCTCAGGACCCATACCAGAGCATATAGTAAGTCGGTTTGTCACAATTAAAACTGTGACTGTTATTTTTCTTATCATAGTCACGAAAGAATATGAGGAATGTGTCCTAGACAATAACTAGCTATGATATGAGAACAAATGTATTTGTTTTTGGACTCGTCTTTTCGTCTTTTCCTACTTTTTAATAAAAGAAATTCGAATATAATAATTGTTATTATGACTTAGATGTCGTTATAAATGTTATTAGTCGAAGTAGTTGATTGTAAATTTATTATATGATAAGATCAATAAATATTAAGTAAACATATTAGAATATATGAATAAAGGAAAATGCAGAAGGCCTTTTGGCCAATTCAAAGGCAGCCCCTTTTTTATATTCACCCAAATTCATTCATTAACAAATAAAATAATTAAGCAATCTAATGTATTCGATAAAAAATTATGGATCATTTGTAAAATCACTTGTAAATTGTAGTGATGTTATTAGGTACTATATAATAAACTTAAATCTCCTTTCGACATAAACTGTTGGTATTAGACAGAATGTTACCTTCCTAAACCATGCAACAGAAAGATGTAACTCTTTTTTTTCAGGAACTTGAATAGGTTACCATTTTTTGTGATACATCATCATTGAACCAACATCTTAATTTATTTTCAGTACTGTACACTTTTTGTCTCCATATTCCCCATTGGTAGCTGCAAATAGGGAAATAAATTCCCCTCTTCTTTCAAACTTAATATCGATTTCTTTGGCTCAAATTCTTGTGACTTGTTTGTTTCCCCCACTAACATTCCAGGATCATGATATGCGCGGCATAAGACTGGGACATGCTCTTCCAGGAAAACCAGATTATATATTACGAGAATTGCCAAAATGTCCCGACGGGAGTAAAAATGTAAAAAGGTTTTGATGTCTGTAGACTAGAGGTTAGTCAAGATAGTCCTGCACGATCATATGGTAGAGTGCTTACAAGACTTTAGTGCCAAATCTGGTAGCTGTAGCAGTAAAGACTATTTCCTAAGACTTTTGATAACTCAACTTCTGCCTGAGGCATCTAGTAAAATCAGTCTTATATGCTATTTTGACTGAAGCTGCCTGGCTGATGTAGATCGATTTTGTTATGCCAAGGTATAAATTTGCTGCATAAAAGCAGGATACCTATTGCTTTTCTCTTCTGCTATTTACTGATCTTTGAAACTCTGATTCTTTTGATATAATTTTTACTTAAGTAGCTCCGTATATTTATATACTTTATGAATTTTGTAGTGTTAATTATATGTTCCACAATTGAAGAAAGACCTCGGGTGATCGGATGACTCGTTCAGCTATACTTCATTTTATATTTGTCTTTGGTTACATCACTCTTTTGGTCGAAATCTGGAAACTATAAACTGGAAGGATTTTTGTGGCCAGTTTTTTCCTGAAAGAGAAAATATATAGAGCATTGAATGAAATATTATTTTCTGTTGGCAAATCAAGAAATGAGGAGAGGCCATATTTTGCACTCAAGTCATGAGTGTCTTCCGCTAGGGTGTCTTGTACTGATAACTTGCATCGGTATTACAGTTGCACAAGATTGACACAAGCCTAGAGGGTCTGCTACCAGGGTCATCACATGAACCAGTCACGGTTTGTCATAAATAGTGGTCCTTAGGCTCACCAGGTTGTCCAAGAACGTGACAAAACAGAAGATGTTAGGAGAAGGTCCAATTTTATCTACTTAAATTTTTCACTAATGCTTAATATTTGCAAGCCAAGACTGATCTGCAATTGTATTTAATTTTTAAATTTAATTTGCCCTCCTCGATGTATATCTGTTACCCCTAAATATGTGTAGCTGTAGATTGCTTGGTAAGGAGCATTGGCTGGAGAGCTATCACAGCTTGGCCAGAGGTTCCCATTTACTGCACAAGTGCACTTCTGTTACAGATGTAATGTTTGGAAATATAAAGTGTATATCATCAGTGATACGATTCACATTATAATTTAGCAATAGCAACAACAGTGGGAGAACCTGTTCTATATTATTTGCTTGGGGGATGAAACGACATTATATATATATTAATTTTTGTGTATGTTTAGACATGAAAATATACAGCATTTTGATTTAGTACGTATAGCCTGATGTCTAGTGAAACTTTCTTCCAAAATTAGAAATAAGCATGATGTAGCTTTTAGTTTATTATTTCCTCTATAAACTTTCAGTAAATAAATATTTTTTTCTTTCATCTGCAGTTGGCTGTTTTTGCTATCTTCTACATTGATAAATAAGCATGTACTGTATTTAAAACAAATTTTATTTAGCATTCTGAATTATTTGTATTGCAGAATCTTCCCTGCTTGCATCCCAAACTTTCAAAGTTAAAATCTATTCGTGTACGATACAGAAAGCAATTGCATAGTACAGTTACTGTCCTGTGATTGCATAGTATCTTTGTTTTACCTGATTTACCCGAGGGCCACTAACCCTAGTGGCCTCGACAAGGACAGGAAGCCGGCGGATTGTCGAAGGTCCCCCCCCCTATTTGCCTTGATTATATTTTCCAGGAATATTTTAAAACTCAACACAGTTTTGGCAGTTAAGGCTTTGACGGGTAGGCGGTTCCATGGGTTAATAACCCTGTGGGTGGAAAAGCATCTCCTGTTCTCAGAACTACATTGTGGCTTGTTGAGCTTGAACCCGTTGCTCCTTGTTTGTGGTACATCTGATCTGAAGAAGAAAATATCCGGATCAACATCCACCAACGGGTTCAGTATTTTAAAAGTTTCAATCAGATCCGCCCTGTCATGCCTGGTTTGCGTTCCTGATACGAGAGATGACTTAGGTCTGGAATGACTTTTGTTGCCCGGTGTTGCACCTTCTCCAAAGCAGCTATGTGCTTCTGAAAATGAGGTCTTCATGCTTGGATACAGTAATGCAAATTGGGGCGCACCGGAGATGTGTTACAGCACCTGTCCCTGTGCTGTGATTGTATTGTACAGTTATTGTATTGTGGTTGTATAGTACTGTGATTGTATAGTAACGTTACTGAACTGTGATTGTATATTTGTTACTGTATTGTGATTGCATAGTACCATTACTATACTGTGTCTGGATAGTATTGTTACTGTACTCTGTTTGTATAGCAGTTATTGTATTGAGGTTGTATAGTGCTGTTACTCTATTGAGATTGTAAAGTACCGTTACTATACTATGATTGTATATATTAGTTACTGTAATGTGAATTCATAGTACCATTACTGTACTGTGATTGCATAGTACTGTTACTGTACTTTATTGTATCGTACTGTTACTGTACTATACTCACCTAGTTATATTTCGGAGGGGGGGGGATGAACTACGGCTCTTGGGTCCCGCTTCTCAATCCTCAATTGACTGATGTATAGGTTCCAGAGTCTACTGAGCTCTGGAACTGGGCTCATATCTACATATAAAGCTGTGTACGGAGTCCGCCTCCACCACTTTAATTCTTAGTGAATTAATTCCATTTGTTCACCATCCTGGCAGTTAAAAATTATATTTTTGGTTCTTTGGTTCTGTGGTTCATTTCTGCTGTGTCCCTGCTGCTGATAATATAGTGTCTTGTACTTTCAAATGTTAAATAGTCTGCCCTTCCTGCTTCCCTGAGAATTTTGTATGTCATGATCATGTCTCCTGCGACTCTTCTATTTTTCCAGTGATGTGACGTTTAATTTATTTAGCTTTCGTCTCAGCTCTGGAACTAATCTAGTAACATAGAGGACGTCTGAATTTTCTTGAGCTTCGTTTTGTGTTTAGCGAGATGCGGACGCCAAGCTGGTGCCACATATTCCAGAATTTGTCTGACATAATGGTATACAAAAACCTAATCGACACTTTGTTCATCTTCCCAAAGTTCGTTCATATACTAGCCAGCCTCCCATACGCAGCTGATAATATTCGCTTGGTGTGGGTTTCTGGTGATACGTTGGGGGGTTATATCGACACCCCCCAAGTCTTTTTCTCTGGTCTGGAAACACTCCTGGAAACACTTTTTCCAGAAGTGTTTCCTCTCCCATGTGGGGCCTGGTGTCCGCCCCCCTGTTCCCAGTTCCCTTCATTACCTTGCACTTACTCCAGTTAAACACTAGCAGTTACTTATGGAATCATGATTACATAGTATTGTTACTTTACTACGATTATATAGTTCTGTTAATACAGTATGATTGCATTTGGCAATTATTTGTACTCTTGAGTTTAGATAGAAAAGTTTTGCTTATTCATTTTAGATTCCCAATTCAGTTATCAAAAAAAGTTATCTTTCCTCTGTTATTCACAATTTATTCAAATTTGTGACTGAAAATCAAATATGTATTTCACATCTTTCTACTTAAAAAGCGAAAATGAGTTTGGATTATGTCCCACCGTTTGATGTTAGATTCTGCTTCTTTATAGGGACAGTATCTTGTTCCAGACAAGTAGTTAGTTGCTGATGGTAGCTAGTTCCTGATAGGCAGCTGGTGTCTGATAGGTAGCTGGTTCCTGATAAGTAGCTGATTTCTAATAAATACTGTACCTGATTCCTGATAGGAAGCTTTTTTCTGAAAGGTAGCTGGTTCCTTGATAGACAGCTGTTTTCTGAAAGGTAGCCGGTTCCTGATAGGTAGCTGATTCCTAATAAATACTGTACCTGATTCCTGATAGGAAGCAGTTTTCTGAAAGGTAGCTGGTTTGTGACAGGCAGCTGTTTTCTGAAAGGTAGCCGGTTCCTGATAGGTTCCAAATAAATACTGTACCTGGTTCCTGATAGATATCTGGGTCCTGACGGGTAGTTAGTTTATGATAGGTAGCTGGTGTAAATTGAATAAGTATGCACAAGATGGAACAGAAACTACACATATAGTTTCTGTTACTCACAATACTGTATATACGGTGGCATGCATGGAAATAAAATAAATATATTTTCTTACTATAATAAGACACTAAACATATTTTCTACACGCATTTCTTAACTGATTGTTTCATGATGATTTTTTAAATTTAGGCTGTGAATTTAGATGCGCAATCTTAAGAGAGCTATTGGATGAATGGGCACCTTTATTCTAATTAAACTGATGTAGATACATGCATAAATGTGTACATACTGTATCTTTATCTCTAAATGTCTTAATAGCCAACGTAATTGAAACAATAATTTCTATTCTTCTGCTAGTCAGTTACTGGTATTATTTCTGTAGCTTTAAAGATTATTCTTTGCCTCTCTGATGCTAGCTTTGTTCCTGCTTATATAGTGCATAATGATAGCGTTTTATAGGTAAAATATTTATATTTTTTTATATTGCTAGATTATTATTTGTATAACAATTTAAAACTACAATATACTCTGATTCTTAAACATTAGCCTAGCCTTCTTAAATTGAACTTCTAAGCATTGCACAATATATATATCATGCTAGTTAAGGAGGATTTACTGTAACCTTCACATCCACATAAAATATAAATATTTTATTATGCATCAAGATTAAAAGCAATGATCTCTCTACACATATGCTTATATAAATTCGCATGTACAAATATATGCAAGTATTATAAGTATATTCGCCGGTACAGTATACTCTTCTATAACATATCTTTCAAAATAAATTCGAGTTAATATGTTGATAAAACTATTTTGTTCCTTCAGCCTTGGAGGATAATAAATGTAATGTTAACAGCAAGCATTTTGACATTTAGTCAGTAAAATATATAGGAGAATTTATCTCAAAATGATTAACATATGTTTTAGAGAAAAATTCAAAATTAAAATAAGCAAATTTTTATTTAGTGGTAAACATTCAAACATAAGGAAGTCAATTTAATGTTTCTTGAATATCTGACAACAATATTTAGAATTTGCAGGCGATGAGTCACAATAACGTGGCTAAAGTAAGTTAACCAGACCACACACTAGAAGGTGAAGGGACGACGACGTTTCGGTCCGTCCTGGACCATTCTCAAGTCGATTCATGCAAGTATTATAACAAGGATCGACTTGAGAATGGTCCAAGACGGACCGAAACGTCGTCGTCCCTTCACCTTCTAGTGTGTGGTCTGGTCAACATCAATTTAGAATTTGAACCATGATTTTTACACTTCAGATTCGGGAGATGAAAAAACAGCGTGAAGTATTACCAGGAACACCAGAGAACATGTCATAGACGTGTCATCCCACTTCCAGTTGACCTTATCAAGCTCTGAAATATGCTTCCTGGAATTTGGAAACCTGCAGTTGAAGACAAATTAAGCTGACGAAGTTCCCTTTCTGGAAATGATTTGAAATTTCCTTAGTTTTTAATAGTATTTGGGTTTATATTATTTTAATTTAAATTCTGCACTACTATTTATGTGATACTTGAGCTGTCCTCTTGTTCGCTGCCACACTAATTGAAACTTACTTCAACAGGTATAAAGTGTTAGCGAATATGTACAAAAACGCCAATATTAGAATGCACTTTATTAAAGCTCATGTTTTGTCTGTAAGCGCTTCATCAAACCTCACACACACATACAGGACTCACTGCTTGTGAAGAGACAAGAATCTGAAATGAAGTTGGAGTGGGGGGGAGAAAACGCTGAATGATATAGCATGTTGCAATTTATATTTTCCTAGATTCAGTCTAGGAAGTGGAGAAGCCATGCTATGTTTGTGATGATGATTCTGTTCAAAAGGTGTGTAGTGTTCAATAAAACCTGCAGACTCGAGCACTACCACACCGTCAAATTGAATCAAGGAAAAGTCAGTATCGCTTCCCACTTGCTTAACTGATTATAGATACCTTATGAATTCAGACATACATAATTAATCATACATCTGTTAAGCCTCAACCTCTGTCTTATCCTCTTTTTTTCGTTTTTTCTTAAACAGTTGGCCTTGTGGGTCTTATCTAGATTAATAGACTTTGTATGTGAAACGTTGTCGTCTTCTGTTAACTTTGGGTTCCTCTACACTACCAGTAACTCTGAATTAATTTTACGATATTGAGTTAATCTAATATTTCTAGCAAGATTTACTTTCATTTTCTGTCAACATCTGAGACATTCTAGCATAATATTACGTGGCTATGTAGCCTTCAATTGTTTTAGCTATCAATGTTTTACATAAATTAAGTTTATGTGGATACTCGCAAGTTTTACCTTAAAACTACTTTCATGATTCTTCTGTAGTGTACAGGATGTAGTACTTAAAACATTCTTTATTATTATATATATCTTAAAATATTCTGATTACATACTACAACACTCACAAATGCAAAGAAAATTTTTTATTCATAACATGCAGAGTTAACATAGATAAATAACATTAACACTATTGCTACACAGTTTACTGTTATTCTTCCTAATATAACATGTTAACATTGAACATTCATCTGCCAGTGTTTTATTATGCATGAATTATGCACTTCAGTTCAGTCCAAACAATGTCAGTTTATTTGCAATATCAAATACAATAATCTGGTAATTGTAAATATCTTGTATGTAATGAATAAAATATAAAAGTACATTTAAGAACAAAATTATTAATGCATAAGAATGTGAGAATAATATCGTATGAAAAATTGTGAGCATTACCACCGTGTTTCAGTAGCTCGCCGTGTTCAGTATCCTCGTACTTCATGTCTGTGGGCAAAATAAATGTAATTGCCAATTTTCCTGACCCTGTTTCATATAATTTTCATATCAATAAGCACACTATAATAATTTACCATTTATTCTGTGATTTCGGAAGTTGCAAATTTGTACCAAACCAAAATTTTTCATATTAAGGATTGTCAGCAACGCAGAAACACGAGCCACAAGTTGAAGGAATTCGTGAGTGCCAGGCATTAAATGCATCTGAACATTGTCTATATGAAGAGTATACTGTTCATATGCAGTATATGAATGATATAAGGTATTGTCTTCAAAGTTTTATTTTCATTGTGTAGGGATCTTTGGATAAATTTGGGTCTTCTGTATTCTCACAAGTTTGATTATTTCATCAGGAACTTAGACCATGTACAATCTACTGTCAAACACTAGGTGATATTAGTGATAAATATAGTCTATTCTTCTATGAATAAATTACTTACTATATTTAGATATAATAAATTAAGAACGCAGATTTCCTCTACTTTTACATACTACGTTACATTTTGATTATTATCAAGTTTTTAACATTAACAACTTAGTAATGTATAGTAGTAGGTCAGTCAGATATCTAGGTAGATATTATTTCATGTTATTTTGAAGATAGCAACCAATTGTTGTAATGTTCATTTTTAGATGTGATTTTTTGATGCGTAACAAGTTGATAATATTTGTAATTTTTGTTGGCTGATAATTATAAAAGAATTAGGGCCAAAGATGAGTTTTATAGATCCTTAATACTTTATAGTAGAAGAGGAAATAATGTTTATGTAACTGAGAGACTTGCTGTAATTTGTATTGTGAGACTGTTTTTGAGGACATGAAATGCAAAAATTAGATTTATTTATTTTCTCATATTGATATTAGTTTTCCCACTTTCTGTTCATCTATATACGTCTCATATTAGAAGAATAAAGGGAACGATGGAAGAAAACCAGTGCACAAAAACGTATTCTGATCCACATGTCACCTTATTTGATATCTATCTATCAATATCTATCTCTCTCTCTCTCTCTCTCTCTCTCTCTCTCTCTCTCTCTCTCTCTCTCTCTCTCTCTCTCTCTCTCTCTCTCTCTCTCTCTCTCTCTCTCTCTCTCTCTCTCTCTCTCTCTCTCTCTCTCTCTCTCTCTCTCTCTCTCTCGTTCTTTTTGTTACCCTTCTCATCTGTCGTAGTGTGCCCCTAACAGCACCACACACAACCTTGCCAAGGGACGTCTAATGAACTCAGCTCCGGCGTCTCCACCTTCGTTACGTGGTCAGGTGTGATTGTTGTTACTTAGCCCCGGCCAGGTCTTCAGCTGATCACCGACCACTGATTGTTTGCTCATTACTGTGCGGTCACCACCTCTAGATTTACACACACACCATCCCCGATTTATTTATTTGTGTGTGTGTGTGTGTTTACTCGTCTAGTTGTGCTCACCTGGTTGAGTACACCTAGATGAGTATATTCATATATACAAACAGACATTAAGACGCAACCATGGAAACAAACATACAGTGTAATTGTGTGTGTGTGTACTTACCTTGATTATGCTCCTTAACCTCGATTTTCCAGTCATTCGAAGTTTAATACAATGACTGTTGTCTCATTTTTCTTCTTGTCATATTTAAATTTAAAACTGTGCATTGAGTTATCCTCGAGTACTGTTCCATCTAACCCATTCCACTCGTTTACAAATTTTACGCTGCAGAAGTTGTCTGACATCTCTGTTCAGACTCATTTGGGTCTATATTTTCTCCTTCTGCTGTTCCTCATTTTTCATTAGTGTATCTTTATCTAATAATAAATAAATATCTATTCTTTCTTGTGAACTTTTGTCATTTTCCCTGAATTTTTAGTGTTATTTATTTTGTTATATTTAGCCTCTAGTGTGGCAAAATAGGACAAAATAGATAATTGAACATCATGTTCTATTTTGACTCCTGTGTGGTGAAGTCCACTTCCTTCAGCGTCTCTTCGTTGCTCAGCAACGAGCCTTGTTACATATATCTCCAATGTTTCTCATTTTATTGCGTATTTTTTTCCTTCAGGTCAACGTTCCAGCCGTTGCTTCAAACTTAGTAGCAGGTCTCACGTAGGTGGCAAATAGAGCTGAAAAACTTCCTTTGTCAACTTTTCTGTTGGGTGTCTGGCGGTGGGCAGTTGGTCATAATTAGGCTGCTGCTGCTGTTGTTATTCTGACAACACCAAGGTACACATTAGATCAACTACTAGGTCTGATGCAAGAATTTGTCTCCCTTATAATTTGCTCTTCCGTAAGGGTCTTTTAACTTGTTTATATTATAGTGTGTGTGTGCGTGTGCGTGTGCGTGTGCGTGTGCGTGTGCGTGTGCGTGTGTGTGTGTGTGTGTGTGTGTGTGTGTGTGTGTGTGTGTGTGTGTGTGTGCTGTACAGTTGGTTTTTGTAGCTCTTGTGTCCTTGTCGCAATGTTTACTGTAACTTTTCCCAGTACACAGACGGTGCTGCCTAGTTTATCTGGCTTGGCCTCTTCTTTTGATAATTACTTACAATAATTTTGGAGGACTAGTTATATTAATAATAAATTAATAATAACGGGTTCAATTGTTGCATTCAGAATGAATTTTAAGTAACGTCAACTGATTGTCAAATTTTGTTACATATAACAATGTATTTTCATAATATATTTATTTTGTTTTATTTTCTTTCATGTTCATGCTGGGACTGAGGAGAATGGATGGTATCAAGCTCGCAGAATTAACCTTAGTTCATATCATCGAACCTTTAATTTCTGAAATTTAAAAGTCATTTGCAAGACCAAATAAAACGAAACTTTTGGTCACTTGGCCACCATCTGGTGTCATCACATTGTTTTATGAAATCACCTTCTAAATACCAAGGTAAGAGACCGTTACATATAGATTATTATAATACTGAAAGATAGAGGAAGTGAAAGGAGACACAACGAGACAGAGAGGGACGGGGGAGGAGGGAAAGAGAGATCTTGAGGTTATCTTGAGAAGATTTCGGGGCTTAGCGTCCCCGCGGCCCGGTCCTCGACCAGGCCTCCTTTTTGTTACACACACACCCCCCAGGAAGCAGCCCGTAGCAGCTGTCTAACTCCAAGGTACCTATTTACTGCTAGGTAAAAGGGGCATGAGGGTGAAAGAAACTTTTTGCCCATTTGTCTCTGCCTCCACCGGGGATCGAACCGGGAACCTCAGGACTACGAACCCGAAGCGCTGTCCACCCAGCTGTCAGGCGCGAAATAAAATGATAAAATTCTTCCCCAGATAGACAGGAAAGAAAAAAAGAGGGACGGAGAGAGAGAGGGTAAGGGTGACGAGAGAGGAAGACACAGACAGACCTGGGCTTGCCAGGTACCCTTTCTAGTATGTCTATAAATTTAAACGTGTCCGTCTGTCTGTCTGCCTGAGGTTGGAGGCCAGACGCTTCGGGGCTAACTTCATCCATTTTTCCCAGCAATTGCTGTTGGGGACGTGCCCAACATGAACGGGTCGGTTTTGATGTCAACGAAAGTAGTTCCGATTGACACTGCCAACGTCATTCTCATTAATATTTCGCAGTTATTATGTACATTTTTGTAATTTGGGGAAAGTAACATAAGAAAACATATTTCTTATGTTTTTCTTCGCTGTCGAGGGAAGTTGGAAAATTAACTCTTCAAAGTTCATTTTCAAAATTTATTATGGTCTGAAGCTTAGGGATGCGTTTCGCAAGGCACTCCTTACATTTTTAAAGACAAATTTACCATGCTTTTGCAAAGACTTGTATTCGCTTGGGGTAAGGTGGTACAGAACGTGATTAAGATGAACCAGTGGATGAAACATTATGGATATTAATAGGCTATTACATGCATGACCATAAACAGCTGATATTCTTGCTTCTACTGTCTCTGTGTTGGTTCGGGGTCTTGAAATAGGTCGAATGTAATTAAGTTAACTGGTTTTTGATAGCTGGTCTTGACTTTTTGATGTGTAGGGCCTCGCTGATGACAACATAAAAAAGTCAAGACCAGCGATCAACAACCAGTTAACATAATTACATTCTACCTATTTCAAGACCCCGAACCAACACAGAGACAGTAGAAGCAAGAACATCAGTTGCTTATGGTCATGCATGTAATAGCCTATTAATATCCATAATGTTTCATCCACTAGTTTCATAACTGCTCCTCATTCAATATAGCTACGCGGATACAGAGATATAACAATATAATACAACATGGAAATGATAAAATCCAGCGTCCTTAACTGTCAATTTCGTCCTGGATAAGGGAATGGGGTGGGGGGGGGGGAGGATTCGTTACCAAGCTATCAGTAAAAAATCAGACCCGGTGGAATCATTCGCATTTTGCTCCACTAATGAATTACGTGATCCCAAAGTGAGATATCTCGTGGGGAGAATAAGAAATATTATTCAAAGATTTTACATTAAAATTCATACGGCAGCATCCCCGTGGAGCAATTGAAGAGTCATTATGGCGCCCCGCGAGATACGCGCCAGGTAAACAAAAAGATTTCACTTTTTTCATTTACCGTCATATATTTTTTCTCGTCAGGCTGCGAAGAGGCGGGGCCAATGGCGGCCTATTTCTGCTGGAGCTGCGTCTAATTTAAGACAAATGGCGCCTCAGTGACGAGTATGTAAAGTATATGAATACATTTCTATATCTATACATACATATATATTTTATTTTTTAAAGAAAAACTGTCGGGTTATAGGTCGAAGGAGGTAGTCGAGAATTTCAGATATTATGTGTGGTGTATTTGTTTTGTGAGTCACTTTACACACCTGAAACACACGGGCACATCCACACTCCACACATGGGGTTACCTGGTGGGTGACGACAACTGACACACCGGGGTAACTACACCCGAACAACGCAGGTTGACAATCTACTCTTGACACACCATATGACACTTTACACACCATGTGACAACACATGAAGACACACATCCACCCACCCACACACACACACACACACACACACACACACACACACACACACACACACACACACACACACACAAGACACACTTGTCCATTTTTTGCGTCCCCATTGCTCCTTTATGTCTCTCTCAAAGACTAAAAACAAACGACGGCAGAGCGAGGACAGAGCCACAGAGGGAGGCGGACGCCGGCACAAATTGTTTTCCCTCCTCAAGTTATTGACTTCTACAACTTTTAAAACTGTTGACTTCTCTCGTTGACTTCTCTCGTTGTCTCTCTCTTTCTCTCTCGTTACTTACTCTTCTTGGGCCAGGATAACTGGATCACTCGCCTTATCCAGCTTCTCTCTCCGAGCTGGATCGCGTTATCTTGATATGGTTATCCAGAGGTGTCGTTTCCGTGCCATGGATATCTTAAGGGATCTCGTTATCGTGTCATTTTGAGGTATCGTATCTTCAGTTACGTTACTGTGACTCATTGTCTTCGTTTCGTTATCCTGTCTTGGTTATATTGAGGTATCGGTATCTGGTCATGGTTATCTTAAGGTATCGTTATCCTATTACGGCCTCACTTAACAGTAACCGGGTTCTTTCCATTCCAACTTTCTATGTGTCCTTAGTGCCTCTTCTTACCTGATCCAACCCCGAGTCAAAGGGGTTGGACTAAGTTATCTAAGTTACTTCACTGGTTATCACAGACACAGTCTCCACCGACTCGGCCCACTTGTTCCCACTGAACAAGACTGAATTCAGGACTGGCCTGTGTGAACTGACTTTCGTCGACCAAGGTACCCTCCTCATCACTTCTGAGGAGTAAAAATTGCATTCTAAGGAAACTACACGGGTGTCGGTAAGATAATAGCTTTCCAGCAGGCAACAGAAAATAGGAACTGGTGCGCTCAACAGATGGCGTTGACATCGTCACAGTTATCCTGCTGTATCGATATCTTACCATGGTTTTCTTGAGATATCATTATCTAGCCATGGTTATCCTAAGGTATCTTTTTCATTATTTACATATGTGTGCACATCTGCTGTACTCCCTTAGTTTAATTTCAGCTTCTGGGCGCCACTTTTTAACCTTCAATGGACTAGTGTACGTTCCCAACTCCGGTCTTTGATTTCAGTCATATATATACGTATGAAGCTGTTGTTTGTAGTTTGCCTCCACTACTACATTTGTTTACTGTTCTGATACTTAACCACTTATTCATAATATCTCTGTGATTGATTTGTGTACTTCGTTTTCACCTGTGTCCCATTATTCGTGTATCTCCCATGTTAAATATTATATTTAATTATGTTTATATATGTCGTACCTAGTAGCCAGAACGCACTTCTCAGCCTACTATGCAAGGCCCGATTTGCCAAATAAACCAAGTTTTCATGAATTAATGTTTTTTCGACTACCTAACCTACCTAACCTAACCCAACCCAACTTTTTCGATTACCTAACCTAACCTAACCTATAAAGATAGGTTAGGTTAGGTTAGGTTAGGTAGGGTTGGTTAGGTTCGGTCATATATCTACGTTAATTTTAACTCCAATAAAAAAAATTGACCTCATACATAATGAAATGGGTAGCTTTATCATTTCGTAAGAAAAAAATTAGAGAAAATATATGAATTCAGGAAAACTTGGCTTATTAGGCAAAAGAATCGGGCCTTGCATAGTAGGCTGAGAAGTGTGTTCTGGCTACTAGGTATGACATATATATATATATATATATATATATATATATATATATATATATATATATATCAGCCAACTACGTATGGCTGAACGGTAAGCAGAGTGCTACTGGCACCCATGTATGTATTCACGTAAATGTAAATGTACTCCACCAATGCATGCCTTCGGACTGGGCTTCAG